ACCATCACAAAAAAATTTTAATAAATAAAACAAATCAATAAATTAGCCTGATAGACACAACATTCTATACCAAAACGTAGCAGATTTGGCTTAGAGTATTATATAAACACTTTGATTGGGTTTACATGACAGGCTGAAGGTTAATTGAACCACAGTTTATTTAGTTAACTCAGTTTTCTCAGCTGATATGATATACTGAATTGTAAATTTATAGACTGAATTTATCTAACAAACAGGGGCAGATTATGTTTGGCTAGTCAATTTGTGATTCAGTGTTTTGTACCAAGTAGCTGTTTGTTTGCCCTTGACTGTACTTTTTCGTAACTTACAAAATGCTTGTCACATCCTCCAAATAAATTGCATTATCATACTGGTAACTTGATGTGCTTCAAGCATCACTTAAAAGTGATTTTGGAGGCTGGAAGAAAAAGAATTAATAGAATTCTGACACACTTCACTCTTTCTCTTTTTTATTTGGACAGCATCAGTCAGAGCTATAAAACGAACTAGTAATTCCAAGTCAGTCAATGTGCTCTTTAATTAGCCAGTGTAACTTAACTACATTGGAACTCATCAGACATTGCAATCTCCTGGTGAGACGCAAGGAAAAGAAAAAAAATGGATAGAGGGATATGTAGACTAGTCTTTTCACAAATAGACTTTCAGACACTACATTAATTTCTCAGGTAACATGGTTTGGGGCTCTTATTTTCTTTTCTGTTTGATTCAGAGAAAGTCTTATTTATTACATTAATACCCACCTTTCAGAGTAGAGCTCAAGACAGTGTTTGTAGGCCTACTTTTCCCCAAAGAATAATGTTGTGAGGTAGATAGAGGTGAAAGAGAACGGTCAGCTAAACATTACCAGTGAGTTTCTATGGCTGAAGGTGAGTTTCTATAGCTGAGTCCCCCTAGTGTCTGCTGAACACTAGCCATATTATTAAAAATAATTGTTTCCCCATATGTATTACATATTTAAAATATTTATTAAATAAAATAAATATTTATATATTTAACACATGCAACCTACTTTGCCTCTGCATAAAATTGACCATCCACATTGCTGACCCTTATCCTGCCTCTTTTGTGATTCCCTGTCAATTTGATTCCTGATTGGTTTATGCCCCTGGCATAAGATGTGCCCTCTTTGGTCTTCTCATCTGACTTCACCCTCATCTCCCTTCAACATATCTGCAGCCAATGGGAAATGCTCTACCAATCAGACATAGACAGTGGATAGGTTGGGTCTGACATCACCCAAAATTGCTAGGTGCAAGAATCCAGTTTAGTTTCTCTGCATTGCTTTGTCTGGCCCTACTCCCACATTTTTTTAATTTATTGTTTGTTTATCTTGATGTAAGCCACTCAGAGTTGCCTGAACTATGAGATGGTCAGCAAATAAATTGGATAGATAGATAGATAGATAGATAGATAGATAGATAGATAGATAGATAGATAGATAGATAGATAGATAGATAGATAGATAGATAGATAGATAGATAGACAGATAAAGAAAGAAAGAAAGAAAGAAAGAAAGAAAGAAAGAAAGAAAGAGAGAGAGAGAGAGAGAGAGAGAAAGAATAGCTACTCATCTCCTAAATTATTTTGAGGGGCTCACAATAATTACCCATATTCTGTTTGGACAAGATAAAAATAATGTGAAAAGATGAGGGCTGCTTTGTTAAGAGTCTGGCAAAAGTATTTTTTCAAGTTTGATGTTAAACTTCCAATCTGGGTGATACCATCACATATTTTCTTGACAATACCTAGATATGTGGTGATGGAGGCGCCATCCTATAAAGATTTGTTATATCAGAGTGGCAGTGGTAACTGGTGCCTGAAATCAATAGAAGTTTTGAAACAGAAAAATCCAGACTTTTCTTGGCTTGTGTATAGACAAATTCAAGAGAGATGGCGAATTGATAAAAAGATTACTTTTTCCATGGAAGATGGGAATTTTTTGAAACAAGTAAGGGACGGTGCTAAAGGACACATTAGAAGGATATATAATGTTCTATTAGAACTGGATTCAGAAACTGAGTTAGTTAAAGATTGCATGATTAAATGGGCTCAAAATATAGGAGAAACAATATCTATGGATACTTGGGAGTTGATATGGGTGAGAAATGTGAAGTTTACGCAAGCTCAAAATCTACGTGAGAATTTTTATAAAATGTTTTATAGATGGCACCTGGATCCTGCAACTATGTCTCGCATTTACGAGAATTATGAATCCAAGTGTTGGAGGTGTGGACAACAAGATGCAACCTTTTTTCATATGTGGTGGACTTGCAAGGTTATCAAGGCCTTTTGGATAAAATTGTGGTGGAACTTACAGCAAATTTTTAAAAGAAGAATTATTTTTCTGCCTCAGTTGTTTCTCCTAGGTATTACACAAAATCTGGATGTAAAAGAAACGAACTTGATGTTGTACTGCTTAACCGCTGCCCGTTTGTTGATAGCTCAAAATTGGAAGAGTAAAACTTTACCTACAATGGAAGATTGGAGATTGAAAGTTTCGTATCTTGCTGAAATGGCAAAGATTTCGGCTTATTTGAAGAATCACTCAAATGAACAATTTTTACTAATATGGAGAAGATGGATTGTTTATATTCAAAAGAAGTACAGAGTGGTGGAATATAATTTAGGTTTCTAGCTAACCTGTTTTTTTATATATATATTTTACCTACTCATGTAGAATAATATACTTTGTGGAGTTAGGGATATTAATATTAGTTTACTTATATCTGAATATTATCCTGGGATTAGGTTTGGGAAGTCCGGGGGGTGGGCGGGTGGGGGGTGGGGGCTTTTTCATATAGCATTGTGAAATACCTGTGATGTTTTTTTTATGATGAAAACAATAAAAATTTTATATTGAAAAAAAAAAATAATGTGAAAAGATGAAACTTGGGTGGCTTACAAACTAAAAAGGCAAGAAATATTGTAATATCGGAAAAGAAGAATAGCAGCCCAAAACGAACAAACACCCAATCGGGAGGAATAGCCAGTTTTCCAGACTCATATAGAGGTAATTTGAATATATGGGGGAAATGATATTCTAAAGGTGCTGCTATGAAGAAGGACCACTTTCTTGGATCTACTAAATGACACAGTTTAGTCAAGTGGTTCTCAACCTGTGGGTCGGGACCCCATTTGGGGTCGATCGACCATTTCACGGGGGTCGCCAAGCAAGGCTGTCTGCCATTTTTTTGTCCGCCATTTTTTTCCCTTTTCCGGCGGGTGCCTTACCTCCCTTGGGCTGGGCCAGCTGGTGGTCAGCCTGCTCCGTCTCTGCCGCTTGCCAGCTACGCCTCGGCCGGCGCAGGGGGCGGAACCACGCATGCACGGCGCTCCCGGGCAGGGAAAGTCCTCGACTTACGACCGGTTGGGTAGTCCTCGACTTACGACCGGTTTAGTCCTCGACGTACGACCGGTTTAGTCCTCGACTTACGACCGGTTTAGTCCTCGACTTACGACCAGTTGGGGTCGCGGCATTAAAAAGGTTGAGAACCACTGGTTTAGTCAATAGGACCTGAAGATCCTAACTCTGATCTTACAGAATGAGTAGAACTCATGGGAGGCAAACAATCCCTCAGATAACTAGAACCTATGGCTTATGGGACTTTATATCCACCACTTGGATTTGCACCTCAAATCCTATTAGTAGCAGTGGTGGGATTCAGCCATCTCGTACCACTTCGGCAGAACTGGTAGCTAATTTTTTGTTGCCCAGGCCCAGAATGGACTTCCAGAAGCGGCATCCACACAGAGAACCGGTTGTTCACATATTTGAATCCCACCAGTGATTAGTAGCCAGCACAGTTCATGGAGCAGAGATGTTACCTGGGTTGTAATGACAACTGCTCATAGCTGAATTCTGAACTGTTAAGCTTTCTAGAAGAAATCTCTGATCAGATCACTAAGAATGTAACTTAGCAGTGGCATCATGCATTATGAATGCAGTAGCTTTCTCTCGGAATGTGGGTTGGATCCATTCAAACTGTTTATTACCCCCCCCCCCCCCCCCAGAAATCAGGGTAAATGGCTGGAGGAATATGATGGCCTCAGAGTGATAGTTTCAATGCTAACCAGCAAGGCTATTTTATTTTATTTTATTTTTTCATTTTGGAGATCTCCCTTCCACCCTGGGCCAGTCTTTATCAGCTTCTCTGGTCAGCCAAGGTTGCCAGAGTGAAGTACTGGAATTGCATTTGCAGGAGGAGATGAAAGAGGAAGGGGAAGAAGAGGAAAGAAAGAGGAGGGAAGAGGGAAAGTGAAGAAGATGAGGATGAGGACAGAGAGGAAGGAAGGAAGGAAGGGGGGAGGAGGACGGGGAGGGGGAAGGAGGAGGAGGAGGAGAAGAAGAAGAAGAAGAATCAACAACAATAGAAGATTGTTTATGGAGATTCTTAGTCATCCAGGACATAGTTGTCCCAAAGGTGCTTTTCAAAAGACAACTGTACTTTGTTTTTTTTCCTTGACAACGTTTCGCTTTTCATTCAAGAAGCTGAACTGAAGAAGCTTCTTGGATGAGAAACGAAACGTTTTCAAAGGGGGGGGGACCCAAGAAATTGTCTTTTGAAAAGCACCTTTGGGACAATGGTCACAAATCCTTGCCAATGTTTTAGGGGCCGGGTGGGCTCGTTTTAATTTCACTGTTGAAAAATATTTTTGAGGTTGTTGTTTTTACTTGGGTTGTGAGCCGCCCAAGGTTTGGTTTCAGATTTTTTTAAAAATGAAATAACTACAATCCGCGAGCAAGAAGAAACCGTCGCCGAAAGAGGGAGCCGCTCGCCCAAGAAAGCAAAGACCCACGAGCAAAAACTGGATCCCGCGATTTCTCTCTTTCTCTGCTCCCGATGTGCAAGTCCGGCAGCGCCTCCCCGCGCAAAAGCCCAGGCGGAGCGGTTGGAGGGCGGGCGCCTTGCAGACGAGAAAGCGGAAGCGGCGGCGCAGGCAGCTGCCTGCTCGGTTTCTGCGCGTCCTCCGAAAATCAGAAGGACGATGGCTGAAGCGGGCGGACGTGCCCCGCTCGTCCCGACGCCCCTTAGCCACGACCGGCGCCTGGGCGAGCTTGGCGGCGGCACCCAAGCCTCGCAGCGGCTCTTGGCGTACAGCGATGCGCTCTTCTCCATCATCGCCACCGTCATGGTAAGTGTGGAGGAGGCCGCTGCGCACCGGCGAGGCTTTTAGCCCTCTTGCATTGGGAAACGGAGCCCTGCACCCCGGCAGGCAGGAGTTCAACAGGCGTGTAATTTGATCCACGCAGGCTGGCGTGCCGAAAGAGCTGGGTTGATGTTGCGGGCGCGGTTTCTCCCCCTCCCTCTCTACCTGTGCGTTGCAAGCGACTTCGGTTGAATCCTTCTGTCGTGCAGATGCAAAGAAAATAAAATCTATTCTGCGGCTGCCCTCTTATAAGTAATGTAAAGTAAGGTGGAAGATACGGCCGGTAAAGATCCTGGGAGGTAGGTAGGTGCGTGGGTGGAAAGGGGAGTGAGGTATCAACTTTTGCTGCGACGCACCCACTGCAAAATGTTAACTTTTCTCCTGCAATGCATCAAGCAGTGGTTAGCTTCCGTCGATCATAAATAAATCGATTTGTCTGTTTCTCTCCTCCGTTTCTTCAGGAAGCACAGTGTGTGCAGTGTGTACAGTGTGTACAACAGTTCATTTAGTGGCTGTTCGAAGTTACAACGGCTCTGAAAAAAAAAGAAGTGATATGACCATTTTTCACCCTTATGACCATTGCTGTGTCCCCGTGGTTACAAGATTTACATTCAGACACTTGGCAACTGGTTCATATTAATGATGGCTGTGGTGTCCCCTGGGGGTCATGTGATCGCCTTTTGCGACCTTCTGACAAGCAAAGTCGATGGGGAAGCCAGATTCACTTAATGTCTGTGTTGTACTAACTTAACAACTGCAGTGATTCATTTAATAAACCTGGCAAGTAAAGTCGTAACATGGGGGCAAAACTCACTAAACAAATTTCTCACTTAGCAACTTAAGTTTTGGGCTCAATTATTATCATAAGTCGAGCACTACCTATTTACTATGCAAAATTCTTCCTCTTTATCCTCGTAACTGTGCGAGAGTTTTGCTGAGACAGTGCTGGTAACCAACCTGAGATTATACAGCTTTCTCACTCAGTAGATATTTAAACGATGCTATCTCCAGTTCTGTTCCAGACTGTCGCATTCGCACATCAACCCTGCTGTTAGTGATGTTATGTTCTGGTTTTTGTTTTCAATCTTCATTTACAAAGATGGGAACTGTGTATGTTGTTCAGAGGGAGAGGCTTGTAAATAAATCAGCGTGCCCGACTAAGTTTTGAGAACCCATACCGTATGTGAATCCAAGCACTTGGGTTAAATCACCATATTTCACTTAACAAAGATCCCACATATTGCATGGTGAAGTCCTCTATATACTGATTTGCTGGCTCTGGAATTCTGGGAGTTGAAGTCCACGAGTCATAAAAGGGCCATAGTTCCCCACCTCTGTTGTAGAGCAAGTTTAAATGTTACGATGGTGTTAAAGTTACTTTGCAGCCAGTCCTCATATTTATTATCTTTGCAGGTTTCTAAAGCAAAGAAAACTGAAGTATGGTCATGAGCACAGTTGTGGTTTCACTTAGCATCCACTTCACTTAGTTGAGTTGCTGGTCCTAATTGTGGTCATTAAATGAGGACTCCCTGTATCTTGGATTTTCCCAGTCAAAGCCTCAATAGCAAAAAGTGACTTAAAATCAATCATTTGTCTTTTATTGCAGCACTCTTAAAAGCCCGTGGCATAAAAAAATGGCCTGGGTAATTAGTCATTCATTTAAAGAGAGATTCCTAAGTGTGACCATTTCATCCATATTGGATTGTTTGTCTTTATAATAGCAGTCTTTCATACAGGAATCTTGAAGTCTGGCCAGCCTTGCTTATGGCAAGACTCTACAAAAATGTGGATGTTTATCAACTGGACTCAATGGGATATTGTTGGCCTTAATTTAGACTGATAAACACATTTTTAAAAGTCGTCTTTTTTCTATTTATTTTGCTTCTTTCTTTTCTACTTTTTTATTAGTTTGTGTTAATTTTTGTTCTTTAAAAAAAATTTTAATGCACATTTATAAAAATACATTTCAAAAAGGGGTTCTTATTATTTTGTAATTCAGCTATTGAGATTTGTCAATTTAGAAAATAATTACTGTTAAGTATCTTCAGCAATTCCGATGAAGTCCAACATCCTTGCCAAACAATATTATATTCCATATTTTTTTCCCATTGGAAAGGTATGGATTTCTGCTTTTGATTTCTTTTCAGAAGCATAGATGTTTTCTGCACATATATTTCATGTTTGCAAATTAAAATTTGTACGTTACTTTAGCTACATGATTTTTCTGTTTCAGATTTTACCTGTGGCACATACAAAGATACATCCAGACCAGGTACTATACTGCTTTTTTCATATTTCCACATAAAGGTCAGTTGTGATTCTGTTTAATAACTAAAGTTGCAGTTTGAATTTCCAGTAAGGTTGTTATAACATAGTGGAGCATGCTGTTATTGATCACTGAAATTCAGCCTCTTTTGATCTGTGAGGCCTATAGTGGGTGCAGTACAAAATGCCATAATTTGTCAGCCCAAAGGGAAATCTCTAAGTCAGTGATGGCGAACCTTTTAGAGACCGAGTGCCCAAAAACTGGCCCCTCCCCCTCCCTCACCCCGTCTGCCCACAGGGCCACTCACAATGTCCAGGGCCTGCCGCAAATCACCCAGCAGCGCCATGGCAGCCACACCCTCTGCCCCGCCCCGCAGCATCAACTGTGCGCAATGGGGCGTGAGGGCAGAGTCTTGTCTACGCTGTCTGGCTGCCATGTCCTTGGCTGCACTGCTCCGCGTGGGCCACGCTTGGGGGCGACTCTCCTCCAGGGGGGCTGCTGGTGAGGGGGTTGCGGGGAGAGGCAAGGCTGGGGCAACAGCACGTGTGCCCATAGAGAGGGCTCCGAGTGCCGCCTCTGGCACCCGTGCCATAGGTTCGCCACCACTGCTCTAAGTATTGTTATCATCAGCCTGGGAACCAACTTTGTTTATTGTTTCACTGATATATGCTGTTCTGATTCCCCCCCCCCCAAAAGGGGATGAAAGTCCATTACGAATAATAACAAAGAACAATAGATTACAACATATTTTTCTCCTCCCTAATTCTTGACCACTTTTAGCAATGATGTAAATTCTCCAGAGGAATTGAGTAATGTTAGGAAGGGGGCTGATAATTTGGATGTCAAGGAGTTCATAGCTGAGCATGTCAGGAATTGAATATATAATGGAGAATTGTTTCAGGAGATTGGACATTTTGTGATATAGATTTCAAAGTACTGTACAAAAAAGGTAGCAGATGCTGAAAGACAAGAGTGTGGTATTTTAAACAGAATTTGAATAATATTGTTTACTTAACTTTATTGCAGTCTTTTAGCAGCCCAAGAAAATTGGTATTCAAATATTCAAAATATTCAAAACGAAATTGACAATGCCAGGATAGTTAAGAAAAATACAACAGACCAAACAAATGGCAAAAAGACAATATTACATGAAATATTCTAAAAAGCCTGTTCAACCACACACATACATGACAAGAAGAAATTAAAATTAGCAATCTGGAGAATATAAATGTAGAATAACAGTATAAAATACATAAACATATAGGTGTGTTACATACACAAGGTATAAATAAAATAATTTGGAAATTGCGCTGAATATTTGAGTCTGTTTTCCAAAGCATAGGTATAACACAGGATTGAACAAAAGAGAAGGCGTATCATTAACAATAAGCTTTATTTGCAGTTCCTGAAAATGAAAACACAGTTTATAAGCCAGTTTGAGATCCTAAAGTGTTATCTAGTATTTACAGACAGGATGAATTCTTATTCGTTGATTTTTGTATTTTGTGAGCTAGGTTACAGTAGCTTTATGTCCTTGGAACAATTGAGAGACATTCACTGCTTTAAAATATATAGAATCGAATAGGATAGAATAGAATAGAATAGAATAGAATAGAATAGAATAGAATAGAATAGAATAGAATAGAACTAGAAGGGACCTTTTCATGCATTTGTTTATTTGAAAAGGAATTACGTAATGTCATATGGAAGAACAATTTGTCAGCTTTGTGATGAAGGTTGTGCCTTTTTTGCAGAAACTTGGAGAAAATGTCCAGCAGCTGCTAGCCACCAAAATTGCTGTTTATCTGATGACCTTTTTGATAGTCACAGTTGCCTGGGCAGCTCATGTCAGGTATGCAGTTTGGAGTGTTTTAGATACTGTACATCTATCAAGCCCTTGAAAACTGTAACTTAACCAATCGGAAGTTATTAGAAATGCCAATAACTAGTCTGTGTGGCCAAAGAAAGTAGATGTGATGATGGGCATCTCACTTGACCTAATTCTCATTTATTCTCCTTTCATTGTGATCCACTTTGTTCTTTCTACACAATTCTGCTCCATGCTGAAGTTACTGCTGAGCTTATAAACAAACATTATCCACGGAATTTTACAGACTGGTTAGCAAAATTTACTACACTCAGCCTTATGAGTGAGATTACTTGCCTCTCCCAATCAGTTAGACTTGTCTTCAGAATAAGGCCATTTAAGAACCCAGACAAATTCCATCAGCATCCCAGTTCTCAAGGAAGCAATCACGAAGTACTTCTCCAAATCTTTCATTAGGATATAAGAGTTATCACCCTTCAAGTTGCCACAGCTTGCACACACATTGCATTAAACTTTGGTTTGTTGATCCTGCTGTATTGGCCCTCTTGACATGTAATAATAAATCATTAACCATGATTTTCAGACCATACCAAGTGAGTTTGTGGATCATGTGTAGCCAGAAGCAGAGATATGATGATGTACCTTAATATGCAGATGCAGCCATTCATATTCTTTTGGGCAAACGGCATTGTTGATTGAAGCAGTTCATACATGAAAACCAATCAAGATCAGCTAGACACAAGATAAAAAAAAATTAAGGAAGAATAAGAATTTCTCAAATGGTAGCAATGACAGTTGCTCTAGTATCTGCTTGATTTACTGCTAGCATCTGTACTTGATTCCTTTTCCTTCTTCAGAAGAGGCAGAATTCTCTAATTTATGTTATTGTATGAATTAAGTGAAGAAACCAGTTTGATGTAGTGGTTATAGCATAACACCATGATCAGGAGTCATGCCTTGGGCTGAAAACCAGCTCTCTCTCTCAGCCATAGGAAGGAGGCAGTAGCAAACCACTTCCAAAAATGTTGGTAAGAAAAGATCTTTTCCAGGCAGCCTCCAGGACTGACTAGATTAGAAGGCTTTATCTACTCAAAGTAGGTCAATAAATAAATGACAAATAGAGAAAGAATTCTGCTATCTTATCTGAAACTCGGTATAGGGGAAATATGATAAACTTAAATAAGATAATAGTCCTTTACACATGCCAAAGGGGGAGAGAGAGCAAGATTCCAGAGAATTACCCTTGTGTTTTGCAGCAAACTCACACAGGAAGGAGATACTAATTCCTTTAAGGTAAGACATACCAGAAAATGCAGTGTGTTTTCCTTTCTCCAAATCACAGAACAAGCAAGAATAGTAGCAATGTGTTGGATGACTTCACCAGAAAGTCTTGATGCTCCTGATGATTGGAATTGAGGATGTCTAATTTGCTGACTTTAAAGGCATTTTAGGAATTTTTAAAATTCCTGAATTTTCACTGGCCGTTTCCTTTGCATCTCGTTCTTGTTTCCATTTTTGCCACACAGTAGAATATTTGATAACTATCACCAAGTTTAAGACTTGTCTGTTTGAATGAGTTTAGTTATGAATCAAAACTTTGTGGGTCTGTTTTATAAGACAATTGTTTTGTTTTGTTTTTTCCTCCAGGCTTTTTCAGGTGGTTGAACTCATTGATGATGTACTTGCCCTTGCAAATTTGGTGAGTGATTTTTTTTTTAAAAAAAATCCTAAATCTGTTTTTTAAAATGATAGATGTTCCCAGCTCTTAATAAGGGATGAAATGCAGCTTGATATTTTTAAATCATTGTACTGATAAATCACAGTGTAGTATTTGGGGCTTTGAGTTTTCTTTTTCTTTTTTTAAATGAAATGTGCTGATGTACAAGGAGAGCTTTTAAATTCAAGTCATATCATTTCAAAATGGCCATTTGGGTATGAAGGGAATAAGATTTGGAAAGCAGAATATACTGTTTTTCTTTTCATTATATCTTAATTTGTGATTAATTGTATACATAAAAATGGCATTTGTAGGATTTTATTATAATTAAAAAAAACACAGTGGACGCTAAGTCTCGGAATTCTGTGTGGAAAATGACTTGCTCCTCCACCCCATTCCTTCCCTTACTATAGAAATCAAAAGTGAGGTAGTTTCAAAATGAGGATTTTTCAGCAGATCAAAGGTCTAGTATAGGATGCTAAGCCATAATAGTAAGATTATTCATATTTAGAGATAAACCAAATAATGTGTCTTAGTCTCATTCACATATTTCTCTAAACCATAGGTTTCAAACTTCTCAGATTTCTTGGGAGCAAAAGACACCTAAGTGGTTTTTTATATTTAGAAACCCTTAGTAACCTAAGTAAATTGTAATAGTATTTTTATTTACAAGTAGTCCTCAATGTACAACAGTTCATTTAGAGACCATTCAAAGTTACAACAGCACTGGGAAAAAAAGTGACTTATGGCCATTTTTCACACTTAAAACCATTGCAGCATCCCCATGATCATGTGATCAAAATTCAGACGCTTGGCAACTGGCTCACATTTATGACCACTGCTGTGTCCTGGGGTCATGTGATCACCTTTTGCCACCTTCTGACAGGCAGAGTCAATAGGGAAGCCAGATTCATTTAACAACTGTGTTACTAACTTAACAACTGCAGTGATTCACTTAACAACTGTGGCAAGAAAGGTCGTAAAATGGGGCAAAACTCGCTTAACAAATGTTTCACTTAGCAACCAAAATTTGGGACTCAGTTGTGGTCATTAAGTTGAGGACTACCTGTACTTCGATGATTCGCAAATCTTGCAATTAGAATGTTAAAGAATAAAGAGCGATCCCCAGGATTCTTGCCTTAGAAATTTTCGCATTTCAAAAAGGAAAGGTACATTTCAACTGGCAACTTAGCAAAAGTATTCTTGTTATATGTTTTCCTTTGAAAGACAACGCCAGAGCAATTTGATGTCTGTGGCAAGTGATACAGATTATTAAAGGAGAAAATACGAAATAAAAGGAAATAAAAGAAACCAAAAGATTATGCAGGGAGCTAGACCAGGGGTCCCCAACCCCCAGTCTGTGGACCGGTACTGGGCTGCGGCATGCCAGCAACCTGGCCGCACAAACAAGCAAAGCCCCATCCTCAGGATGCAGGCAGCACACAAAACAACACCCCTCTGGTCCGCGGAAAAGCCTCCATGTAATCGGTCTCTGGTGCCCAAAAGGTTGGGGACCTCTGAGCTAGACAATAGGCTCAGCCAGAAATGTTGAAACCTTTCATTCATATCTCTTAAAAAAAATGAAGGCCCTCATTCCCCTGCTGAGGTTTAACTGGAGCCATTGATTTGAGATGGTTTTAAAAGTAACGGTGGAATAGAAGTACGTGTAAAAGTAGGTTAATTTCCAGACCTGTGGAATTTTTCCCAAAGATGGGGGTGATATTAGCCAGTATGCTAGGGAGTGTCTGATGTTATTTTTGCCATTCAGAAAAGAATTGAACTGAAGTATTAATACCACTTTATAAAGCCTTAGTAAGGCCACATCTGTAATACTGCATCCAGTTTTGGTCACCACATTACAAAAAAAGATGTTGAGACATTGAAAAAATTGCAGAGCAGAGCAACTAAGATGATTACAGGCCTGGAGACTAAAACATATGAAAAATTGTTGCAAAAATTGGGTATGGCTAGTCTAGAGAAAAGAAGGAATAGGGGTGATATGATCGCTGTATTCCAGTATTTGAGGGGCTGCCACAAAGACAAGGGGGTCAACTTATTTTCCAAAGCACCAGAAGGAAAGATAAATAACAGTGGATGGAAATTAATCAAGGAGAGAAGCTGGAATTAAGGAGAAACTTTCTAAAAGTGAGAACAATCAACCAGTGGAATAGCTTGCCTTCAGAAGCTGTGGGTGCTTCATCACTGGAGGTTTTTAGAAGAGACTGGACAGCCATTTGCCTGAAATGGTATAGGTCTCCTGCTTGAACAGGGGGTTGGACTAGAAGACCTCCAAGATCCATTCCAGCTCTATTCTGATTGATTGATTGATTGATTGCCTCCACAGAATGATAATTGAATTACTGTATATATATGAACAGGAGACGGTTTCTTTTCATCTACTAAATCACTTTTTCCTTTTCCTAGGCATGCATGATGAGCATTACTTTTTTGCCATATACAGTAAGTAAACACTCTTATGTCACATCTTTAGGCTGCTGCCTGGATTGGTTACCAGATTTCCAGATTTGTACATTGCATTGAACCACAAACTGACCACGCAAGCTGTGTTTTTCACCTGTGCAGGCGCTGATTTGTAGTTCAATACATTGTGCAAATGTGATCTATTTAATAGAGTTTAGGAGCATGCTGGAATCTTGAGCCAATATTTAATACATCTGAGATCAACTGAATAGATGTAAAACGTTAAACCTGCTGATCCAATGCAGGATGCATTTTGAAGATGCAGGAGCCACAATGGGTAAGAGTATGTATGAACTTAACTATACATGTTACCTTATCTGATCTAGTAGGATCAGACTTTGGAGGTATCAAACATCAAACAAAAAGAAACGCATAGAAGCAAAGTAATAAATAAATAAACCCAGAACAGAAAATAACCACAAAAAAGCAAAGATAACACCCAAATAAAATCGAAAGAGGCACCCGCAGGCAGTCAATCATCTGGGATCAAACACAAATTGCAGCAGAAGACCTTCGAACTGTTTCCAGAATTGCAACAAGGTGGAGGCTTCACATATTTCTTGCTGGAGAATATTCCATTAGGTAGAAGCTAGTGCAGATGAAGTAAAATGGGTGGATCTGAAGCATGGACATTCTTATAATGTATATAGTATGTATAATGTACAGTGTTATAATGTATATAATATATATAATGTACAGTGTTATAATTTATATATATATAGTGTAATAGGCGCGCTCCCATTGACCTACATAGATATATAGTGTAAAAAGCGCGCTCCCATTGACCTACATAGATCCCTGAAGATGCCGGCAGTGAGCCGGTGAAAGCTTGGATCGTAATTTATTAAAACTTTTATAGTTTTTTACCTTTCCTGGTGTTCACTGTTGTCTATATTTTTACCATGAATGCACCCAGGAATCAGTCATCGGTTTTTAGGATTGTTTTTAATATATATATATATATATGTACTTCCTACGTTTGGAATGGAATTTGGATATTTTTTCTTTGATGTTTAAAAACTATAGAGCTCACACTACAATCTGTATATATTTTATTTCTCAAAATGGTAATATGAGACTAGGCTGAAGCTGCCATACCTAAAGATGGAGTAAGCACCTAAAACAGCCAGGAATCTTGTCTAAAAGATCGCTTAGGGGAGGTAATTAAGAAGGAACTAGGTTGTTAAGAAAAACAAAGGAAGAAAGCGGCATGTGAACCAGACAAAGGAAGCTGGGTCTGAGCAGATGGGAAATCTAAGCCCCATCAACAGTTACCTGACTTGAAAATCAACAAGGCAAGAATAGCTGACAGTATTGTGAATCAACAAAGCAAGGACTTTGGGGGGAATAAAAGGGATCCTGAAGCCTGCTCTTTGAGTCATCCTTGGATCCAGAATTGGCAGTTTCCATCCCTCTGGCTAGTGCCTAACAACCTATTACTTTAGTTATAAGACCCATGGTGGTGCAGTGGTTAGACTGCAGTATTGCAGGCTAATTCTGCTCACTGCCAAGAGTTCGATCCTGACTGGCTCAAGGTTGACTCCGTCTCCCATCCTTCCAGGGTCGATAAAATGAGGACCCAGATTGTTGGGGGGCAATATGCTGACCCTATAAACCACTTAGAGAGGGCTGTAAAGCACTATGAAGCGGTATATAAGTCTAAGTGCTATTGCTAGTTCTGAAGGACCTGAGTAAGTATGGGTGTGAGGAAGAGCAAATATACATTGCTACTAGTAAGTTTTGTTGTTTCTTGAAATTGACCAGGTCTCAAATGGTTGTGTGAGTGACCATAAGCCAAACATGGAGTGTATGTAACAACAGCAACTCCTGCCACCAATTTTCTGCAGATTGATTTGGAACAAGCAAGGCATGGAGAGTCACAAAAGGGATTCAGGGAGATAAATTTGGTCCTAGGATCTCAGATTAACCACTTGCTTTAATATGTTCTGAAATACAGAAAGAATCTAATTTCTTATTTTGCAGTTCTCCTTAATGGCGTCTTTTCCTGAGGAACCATTTGGCCTTTTTATCTTTAGTAGCTGTGCTGTTGTATTTGGTGTTATCCAGGTATAGTTGTTTTATATTTCAGTACAGGTAGTCCTCGATTTGCAGCGGTTCATTTAGTGATCGTTCAAAGTTACAACGGCATTGAAAAAAGTGACTTATGACCATTTTCCACACTTATGACCATTGCAGCATCCCCATGGTCATGTGGTTTACATTTGGATGCTTGACAACTGATTCACATTTATGACGGTCGCAATGTCCCGGAGTCACATGATCAACTTTTGCGACCTTTTGACAAGCAGAGTCCACGGGGAAACCAGATTCACTTAACAACCGTGCTACTAATTTAAGAACTGCAGTGATTCACTTTAACAAACGTGGCGAGAAAAGTCATAAGATGGGGCAAAACTCACTTAACAAATTTCTCACTTAGCAACATAAATTTTGGGCTCAATTGTGGTCGTACGTTGAGGACTACCTGTACTGTATAGTTTAGTAAACCATAGTTAAAATGAGATGGGTAGTAATTACAAGATGAACACTATTTTCCTTTGTGAGAGAATGTTCAGGTAATTCTTCATTTCCACTGCTAAGTTAGGCAGTTGTTAAGTGAGTCCCACCCAGTTTTACAACTTCTTTGCCATGGTTGTTAAGCGAATCACCACAGTCCTTAACTTATTAAGAATCCAGCTTTCCCCCATTGACTTTGCTTGTCGGAAGCTGGCTGGGGAGGTTTTAAATGGTGATCCCATGGCCCTGGGACATAACAACCATGGTAACTGTGTTCTGGTTTTATGACTATATGCCAAGGAGCACGGAATGCTGCTACCTTCCCACTGAAGCGGTACCTATTTACTCCCATTTGCATGCTTTCGAACTGCTAGGTGGGCGGGAGCTGGGGCAACTGACGGGAGTTCAACCCGTTGTGCGGCGCTCGGGTCTCAAACCCAGGCTGTTAGTTTGTCAGCTGACAACCTCAACATCTTTAATCTCTGAGCCATCATGCTCCCAGTTTAAGTTAAGGATGCTACAATAAGGTGTTTTGACGTGGGTGGGCACACAGCTGCTCTGTAAGCCCAGAAAAGTGTATGGCTTCTTTAAGGAGCCTCCCAAAAGTATGGTATGTGTATCTACATCTGCTCCAAAATATTTATTCAGCTTTGGATCCAAAGTGCAGCATATCCCTATTAGAGCTCAGGGCAAATCTTCCGAGCACCCGTACTGTGATTTGAATTTACAGCCAAACAATTCTTTGCCTTCTAACGGTGCAGCAATATTTTCTTGTTTTGCAGGTGATGATTGTATTATATGGCTTCAGACATTCGTATCTACTGAATCATCAGATACAGGAATCTGAAAATAAGGCATTTTATAAATACCACATTTTAAAGATCATCCTGAGAGGGCCAACGCTGAGCTTTTTGGCTGCCATTTTTTCATTTTTCTTCTTTCCATTGGTAGGTTCATTGAATTGGAACAGTGTTTCCCAAATGCTGTACCATTATGTTGTGGTGGGCCTTAAATTTAGTGATTATATAAGATGAGGGTCTATCCAAGAGATAGGAAACCATGGCCCCTTTATAACTTGTGGACTTCAACTCCCAGAATTCCTGAGTCAACATGGCTGACTCAAGAACTCTGGGAGTTGAAGTCCATAAGTCATGAAAGGGCCATGATTCCCCACCCTTGATCTATACATTACGGTTTTTCTACTGTTTCAGACTTGGAGTTATTCCAGCCTTTTGATGCTTTCCTTCACGTGAGAGTAATTCTCTTCTGGCTCTATAAAGCTTTTGAAGATCATCCTTGCTATTAGGATTCTTTATGAATTGCAAGAAAAAGTTACCTTATTATTATATTGGAAGAATTGTTGCTTTATACAGACTACATAAAAGAAGCAGATGTCTTTCTCAGGGACATGTATGCTTAAGAGGTCCATAAGCACTGGAATGTTCTGTCAAGAGTCCTACAAGGAATTGTAAAGTACATGACTCTGAATTGCCATTATTTTTCATTGTGATGACGTGTTAACTGACAAATGTGAATTTGGACTTAACTGCTGTTTTTCCTCTAAAACCCATTTTTGCTAAATGGTTCAAGAGAATCATTTAGAGTCTTTTATTTAATTAGGGAACACACAGTGCATGACAAGTAGGACAAATGGGAATGTATCCTTTTCTACTTATTACCATTGTATTAATGCAAAAATATTCAGTAAACGTGTGTCTCTATTTCCTTGCAGTCATACATGTTCCTTGGGCTCATTATTTTTTTCCCACTTCTCAGCCATCTAACCAAATGGTTTAGAAGCAGAATTCTTGGTGAGTGTTGTTTATAAAGATTTTTAAATTCCCCAGGGAAATTTAAGAACTAGATGATGTATACCAACAACCTTATCATCATTTAAGTTTTCATCTTTTGGTTCAGTCACTTCCCTGGATAATTTCCTGCTCCTCTCAGTACAATCCTTTTCACACAAGCTCCTCAACTTTGTAGTGAAACGTTTGTGGAGTCCTTGATGTTCTCTGAGCTTGGTTGTTTGCTTGCAGACATTTCATTGCCCAACTAGGTAACATCATCAGTGTTACTGAGAGTTATTTACAGTAACTTGCCCTGCCCGTTCCTTGATAGTTCCTTGATTAGGATATTGCTTTCTGCTTGATTGTTCGCCTGATGTTACTTCCTGCTTATGTGGGTGTTGGCTGTTGGAAAGAATGTATCCTGGTCTTTTGTTTCCTCCTTAGCTTTTTGTTGTCTCATTTGAATGGTGTGTATTTCTATATATTTGTTGGTGGCTGATTTTCTTCCCACTGCTGATGAAATATACACAGCTGAGGCAGCTATTGCCTTTTTTTTTGTTTAACCCATCTTTATTATTTTTATAAATACCTCAAGGTGGCAAACATATCAATACTCCTTCCATCTCCTATTTTTCCACAACAACAGCCCTGTGAGGTGGGCTGGGCTAAGAGAGAGAGTGACTGGCCCAAAGTCAGCCAGCTGACTTTCATGGCTAAGGTAGGAGTATAACTCACAAACTCCCGCCTTCTAGCATGATGCCTTAACCACTGGACCAAACTGGCTCTTTTCAAGACTCTTGTGTGTCTTCCCTGAAGCCTCAGCACTGGGAGGAAGACAGTGGCGAAAGTAAGCTGGGGGCAGGAGGACTAGGCAGCAGCAGAAGACTGCAGGCAGCCGAGAGAACAAAGATGGCGGGAGACAGGCAGTCAGGAGGAGTTGAAGCACACACTATGATTGTAAATGCAGGTGGACTGCCAAGTGCCCAACTTTTGATCACATGACCAAAGGGGGCCCCGCAACAGCCATAACTTCAAACCATCGCTGAATGGTCAATAAATGAAGACTACCTAAATACTTCCCAACAACGTTGGGTAAACAAAGCACTTATAGTATAAGAATGATGATAATCCATATTGATAGTGCTTTTGGAGGAGGGGCTTGTGGGCTTTATGAAGAAGCAAACCAATTGTCATCTTAACATGGAAACCAATTTTATTAAGCGTGGTCATTTTTGTTGGCAGGTCAAGAGGAGGAACTCCCTGTAGAGTATTTTACTTCTTACCTTAAGGAACCCTTGAGTAAGGAACGAGTGGAAAGTTTCAGTGATGGAGTTTATGCAATTGTTGCAACTCTGTTAATTCTGGATATATGGTAAGTCTTCGGCAATAGAATAAAATTGCACCCAGGATTTTCAAGTGTGATGCAGTGCTAAGAGAAAAAAAATAGTATCTGTAATTGCGGATATTTATTATGGTTGGCACGATGATCCTGATCATCACGGTCAACATGATCCTGCCCACCTAGCAGTTTGAAAGCATGCAAATGCAAGTAGATAAATAGGTACCACTTATTTAGGAATGTAACAGCATTCCATGCATCTTGGTCTGTAGTTTGCTCTGGAGCTTCCTCACTTAAATATTATCTTCAAAATGTATTGCTGTGAATACTTTACTTTGCTAGAAATGCAACAGAACGTAGATTATAAAGGAATGGGTGAGTTTGCATAGGTCTGTATTGCATACCCACATTGGCAGATGGTTTCCAGTGTAATCAGACGTGACTATTCCTGAAGCAGAACTCTATTACAATCGCAACAAAAAGTAGTCTGATGCGTTTACATTTTCTTCTTGGTTTGGCATGGAATGAAATGGATTCAAGACGTTATTGAGGTTATAAACCAACTCAGTCAACCGAAGTTAAATTCATGAAGTATCACTTTAAAATAGATTATTTGTTGTGAGGGTATTCTAAATATATATATATATATATTGTTTACTTTACTCAACAGTGAAGATAATGTTCCTGACAATAACATAGTTAATGAGAAATATAATGGTCATCTTGCTGAAGCACTGAGAGAATTTGGTCCAAGTTTCCTTGCCTACTTCGGATCGTTTGTAACTATTGGTCTTCTCTGGTTTGTCCACCATTCACTCTTCCTCCATGTGACCAAAGCCACCCGACTGATGAGCCTCCTTAACACCCTCTCTTTGGCTTTTATTGGTGGACTTCCTCTTGCTTACCAGCTGACCAGTGAGTTTGCCGAGAAGTCTTACAACGAAATAGAAGCCATTCAGATCAGCTGCGTTACCATTTTTTTTGCCAGCATCTTCCAGTTCAGCATATGGATTGCTGCGCTGTTCCACGAAGTTGAGACATTGCATCCTTTTGCGAGGTACGGTGGCAAAGAACACGCCTTCATGTTTGCAAAGCTTTCTCTCTACCCCTGCGTGAGCCTTGCAGTCTTCTGCCTGACGTGTGTTGTGAGTGAGCTAAGTACGACTATTTTTCATCTCACACAAATAATCGTCCCATTTGCTTTCCTTGTATTGCGCATCTTCGTCAGAATCGGCTTGATGATACTAAACTATATAATGTCGATGGCCAGGCCAAAGAACAGTGTTTTAGAAGAAGAAGAAGAAGCCTGTTTATCCCCAGCCGATACGCTATCGTAGTTTTCCCTGCACTTTACATGGAAAATCAAGATACTCCTGTGACTTGGAGATTTCTAGATTCAATTAAAACTGAATTGTTCCTTTCTTTAGGGATGCTCAGCTTTCCCTTTTATTCGTGGACTGGGGTCTGGAGAGTGAGTTTGGCTAGAATACTTATCACCTCAATAGCCTCACTGATCATAGACGATTGGTGAGGAATCGTAAGATGCTTGGGCGAAAATAATGGCATTAGCAGTTTCTTGGGAAGTGCCATTTGTCATAGCCAGGAAAGGTGATAATATGAATGTCCTTATCCATTCCATGGCCATTAAGTGACCTGGAGGATGTATTAAACTGCTAAATAATTCAATGTGTGTCTTGATTTGCAACCCTAACAGCTGCTGTCTAATCTATGTAATCTAGCAAATCAGTGTAAAGTAACATGATTAACTGAACAAAGGAATTGTGAGTCAACAAATTACTATCAGCAATTATACAAGATGTAGTTCGTTCAGCACTGGCAACTTCTTAAAGAAACCTGTATGTTCAGCATGCTAAATGTTCAGAGAATATTTAGAAAGAGTTGGCTGTCAGTATAACCAAAGTTATAACTTGATGAGGGGATACTTACGATATAGGTTTGTCCCATTATTGCCCCAATAATGTGACAAGCCTACTTCGTAAGTATCCTTTAGAATCCAGTGTTAATAGCCATAACTTTAATAATGTAATTTTCAGAAAATAAATTAATATTATTGTGATGCTGTATTATATCCCAGTCATTTGGAAATTATCAGTAGATGAAGAACGATTAATGAAACAAGAAAGATCATTCTGTTATGATGGGAAGGTAGAACTTAAAATAGTCCTTGGATTATCATGACAATTGGGACCGGGAACTCTTTTACTAAGCAACAGGGTTGTAAAGTGTAACATCACATGACTATGTCACTTAGCAATGGCAACTCTGGCAGTCCCAGGTACTGTTATTAAATGTGGGTCATTAAGTGAGGACTTTGCGTGACTATGACTTCCAACTTCCTGCTGGCTTCCTCAACTGATCAGGAGACAAAACCAATCTGCTGCCAGCAGATCTAGCAGCATAGAATCAACAAATGGAAACTTATCCAAGTAAAACATTTATTTGTGGGAAGCTGGAATGGAGAGTCAGAAATTGTAAAAATGCCACGCGACTACAGAGATGTTGCAGTTTTGGAACTCCAGGGTACTGTCGTAAGTTCCTCTTGTTTAGTTTCATCATAACTGAATGGTTGCTGAATGGTGAATGGTAGTGACCTGCGAACTTGTACAATGCATGATGATGTGTGTTTGTTCTCTGCTTATGAACTGATTCCCTGTGGATGTAATGAAAAGACTACAGTAGTGGCCAAAATTGTGGAAAACTTTTGGGAAAAGTGTACAGTAGAAATGCCACCTTTGGTTAAGTTTCCACCAATTTTCTTTCTAATTTCTTTATAACTGTAGCCTTGTTCACTTAATAATACTATTTTACATCACTTTCTGGGCAACCAGTCAACTCTTTGCACCATTACTTTAATTTTATTACGTTTTACAAGCTCACTAAGTGAAAGAACAAAAAAAAAACCCAACCAACTTGATAGCGATCACATAACACACTGTCAAATGTCCTCCTCTCAGCTTCAATACATGACATCAATAACTGAATCCTACTGTGATCTGATTGGTTCATTGCCAAAACAAGATGACACCTGATTGGCTCTCTAAACACTCATGCTCATTGGCTACAATCAGATGAAGGAAAGCTACCTGATATCAACCTAAGCAAGTTGTGCTTCCTTTTTCTGGTTATTTGGCTATAACTTTTCATAGAATGCAGTACAGATAATTGAACAAACTTTGTTGCATTACATTCTTGATTAAATTATCTTTCCATTTATATATAGTTTTATGGTACTACACCAAAAAAAGTGGTGTTATTAGCCATCAAATCTCAAAAATACACTTTTCCCAAAAGGTTTCCACAATTTTGGCCACTACTGTAATGTCACTCCACATCCTCAAGGTTAAATGATGTGTTTAAAATCTGACCTCTTTTCTATTCATGCAATAATGTTTCTGTCCTTATACTTTTTTGGTTGATGTTCATTTCCATTTATTCTTTCCCTAGTTCTGTATCATATTATTATACTTCCATTGTTTATTTTTATTGTTTTATTCCTTTGTTCTTGTTATGGTTACATATTTTTATCATTTTTTCCTGTTTTATTGTTGTAAGCCACCCAGATTAACCTCACAGGGAGATAAATTTAACAAATTAAACAAACAAAGAAATAAGTTTAAAAAAAAGATTCTATTTGATGCTAGCTAGAGCCTTGAAACAGATAATCCTTTGGCAGCCTTATATTGCCTTTTGAGGATAGTTGGCTCATATCATAAATGTGAAATATTTTCCTAGCTCTTTGTGCTTTTTTACGTCGATATTATTCTCCTCTGCGCCTTAACAAGGTTGCTTTCAGTATCAAGCTATTGATATGTCTACAAGTTTCCTGATAAATTCTTTTTGTCATTTGATGTGAGAATTTTTGCACATAATATTTGGTGTAGTTTCTCAACAGAAACTCATCATTACTGCTCTCAAAAAAAAAATGAATAGTAGAACTACTTTAAAAGCATTACACAGGCAAGCTGTGAAATAGCTTGTTTTCTTTCTTCAGTGCACTATATTATATAAATGTAAAATGAATTTATGGTATTTCATTAATATGTATTTGCAAGATATGGTAGATTTGAGATTTGAGATAGATTGAATTGCAACACAGCTGCAATGCTCTTGGATCCTTTATTATTTGACTTATGTGTTAATTAAATGGAATCTTTTATTTTTTTATTTTATTAAAGATGTTACTTTTACCAAGAGTTGATATATCATTTCAATGTTTCTTCTCAAAATGTCTTTGTCACTATTTCAACTAAAACCTATTCCCCATAGCACGGAGAAAGAGAATGTGACTTAGACATTTTCCTTCACCATTTAGAGGAGCTTGAAAAGTATTTTAGAAACTTCTGGATGGTCATGAAGTCCAACACTAACATAGCTGGTGAAAACTTCCAGGTATCTTTTCTCTTAATTTAGTGGAGGAAGAAACCATCTGTAGTTTTCTAAACTAGAAAAGACCTAGTTAAGATATTTGTCAACATTTGACTTAGCCCAATAGCCAAACTGACTTGTTTGGTCAGAAAAAAGATAATATGTTTATTGCCGAATGGAAAACCATAGTGGACTTTTATGTAAAACGAAAAAAATGAACTTATGATTTGTAGTTTTAATAATTACCTAGGACAGATTATAGAAGTAAGAGTCATAACATAACTTTAGACAAAGTAAATTTATAATTGTATCTAAAACTGCTATAAAGAAGTTCAGAAACCACTTCGTATCTTTTTTCTTTTTAACGTTTACTTTTTTCTTGAGCAATTAGCTGTCTTTTTGATCTTTCTTTTTCCTTTTTTATTCCTTACTCTATATTAATCTAAATTACCTTTTAATCTTTAAAAAAGCTTTTAATAAATATATATTTATATATATATATAAGTTTGAGCACATAGACACTTCTAATTGTGGTAAAAGTGACAAGCAAAAATCCTTGAAATGGCTGGGTCAAACAAATCAAATTCCTCGATAGAAAAGTATGTAACAAGATATATTCCCCAGTATCTAAGAAGAACATTCTCCAGAGAACTGTTTAAACAACTTGGTTTCGTAACAAAATATGGAAGGTCTCATGAAGAAAGATTCTGTATAGGTGGTATACCCAGTTTAGAAATATTGAATCTGTTTGGTTGCATACTATATTCTGCAGAAAGGTATATTTACTTAATCCCTTACTTAAAAAGTTAAGAAATATTGGGACACCCAGGCTAAACTGTCTTCTTGCATAGAAAAAAATCAGCATAATGCTAGGGAGACTACAATTTTAATATCAAAGACCATTTTGAAGAGAATGGATTACCTATTAGGGTTGATTGCAGGGATGACAATTTACTATGAATATATCCTTTGATATAGTCAGACAGTTAATCAGTAAAATTTTCTTGTATCTTGACCAAAAAGTGCAATCGTGAAAATATTGTGAGTGTAGTTTCCTTTCCATGGATGGAGATGCAGAATTAATTGAAAACCTAAATCTATGATGCAAAATTCTTACTTTGCATGGCTTTGGAACTTAGAGTATATCCTCTCTTGCTATTTCCCTTTCTAAATCCGCTATTCCCCATCTACTATGAGTTCTGTAAAAACGTGAGTAGTTTTCCTTTGTTCCCTTCATGAAAGCCATACACACACACACACACATGTAGTCACAAAATGAATTTTGTTGAGGAACAGATGACCACTGAGAGACAGCCCATCGTAATATCTTTTTTTTCATATTCGCTTGTATTTAAACACAGTACATTATCTACTTTTTCTCACAATAACAACCCTGTAAAGTAGGGTGGGCCAAGGGAGCGATGCGAAAGACAGAGGGGATGGCCTTGGGAAAAGAAAAGAGCTGCTACCAAGACAATGGTCAGATAAAAGAAGATTGAGTCTGGAGCAGAAAGATAACTCTGGTAAACATCTTAGACAAAATCCTAGTTCTCACAGAGATAAAGTGTGTGTGTGCATTCGGGCTTACAAGATTCTCTTACTATAGTTTTACAATACAAGTAGAACTGACCTACATGATATTGGATTCCTAGTCTGATCAACCTTGAAGAGCTGAGATTGATTGTCCCAAATCAGTGAGCTTCAATCCCTGAGAGTAGACTGTTGTTTTCACCATTTTGGTTCAACCCTGTTCAATTCTTGGAAACTGTTTGGACAAGGCTCTGCAGTTTTCTTGGGAAGGTTTTTCAGAAGTGCTTTGGCTATTGCCTCTTTCCAGGGGCTGAGAGAAAGTGACTAGCCCAAGGTCACCCAGCTGGTTTTGTGCCTATAGTGGGACTAGAATTCACAATCTCATGGTTTCTAGCCTGATACCTTAACCCAGGGGTAGGCAACCTTGGCTCTTTTATGAGTCATGGACTTCAACTCCCAGAATTCCTGAGCCAGCCATGCTGGCTCAGGAATTCTGGGAGTTGAAGTCCATGACTCATAAAAGAGCCAAGGTTGCCTACCCCTGCCTTAACCAAACTGACCCTCAGACTAAAAGGTAGGTCTCTTTTAATCATAACAGAACAATGTCTCTCATCCTGATCTCTGTTCAACACATACAAGTAGCTGCACAATAGATTGCTTGGAACATTCCAGGGCAAAGGTGGTTTTTTTTAACAAACCCTAAGTCTAATCTATTTCCAGGAGGATTTTAAATCTCAATTACATTAAGGGTCAGATAGTCAAGTGATGCAGATGGGATATTTCCAGGTGGCTGCTATCTCAAATGATGTGTTTAAAACTAGAACAAGGAGTATTCTACCACAACAGTTTATGCAACTGCTACCATTCCACTCTTTCAAATATTCACCATGAAGGGAGAGTCAATAACCATATGGAATATACAAAGATGCGCCAACTGAATATTTGATCTGCATAACAGTATCCCTACAATAAATGCTAATTTCAAAGTATATTTAAAATGCAATGTGAAGGCACACACTATAACTGTTCTTTTTTAACCGTTCGGTGGCACAAACACACAAAACTGAAATAATTGATTTGTGTGTTTCAAGTGACCTTGGTAATAACATCAGTTCAATATCTGGAAAGATGGCCATTTAAATAAGTGTTTCAAATCATAGAGAAAGCAAGAAATGTTCGCCATTTTGTTTAATTAATGTGACAGATGTTAACACAACTTCCTAAAGCTGATGATTTTCATTCTTTTTCATCTCCGTGTGTGATGGTGTAGCAGAGAGCTTTGTAATCCAGATTTCCTGCCGAGTCAATAGGGGAGCATTGAAACATCTGATCCATCTGTACAACAATAGAAAAAGGAAGAGTTTAACCAAGGAATTTGAGCAGGACAAGCAATGCTGGCTGTGGAATTCTGGGAGTTGAAGTCCACATACCTTAAAATTGTCAAGGTTGAGAAACACTGCTTTAAAGTCTTTAAAGTTGGAAACTGTAGAAGCAGGTCTACTAAAAAAAATTCCTGCTAGGCTCAAAAAAGCATACATTTTGTTTATAGAAGTAACAAAACTAGAAGCTGCTATCTCAGGGTTCTCCATAAAAGTTTTCACACAACTGAATTGCTATTCATCAGGACCAAAAGTAATTTCAACAAAGGAAACGTATTCCATTAGCTACCTTCTGCCTGATTAACAGTAATGATTAATTAATTTTTCTAAAAAGCAATAATTTAGTGTGGCCACCAAGTACATATTACATTAGCTACTGATTATAAGTATAAAAGAGGTTAGAAATTATCTGCACTTTCTTTAGATTAAACTTGGCAATCTTTTTCTTTTCAATGAGAACCAGCTCTTTATCAAAGAATTCATAGTTCAGTAACCACATGTTCATGTTGCAGATAGAACATGTGGTTACTGAACTATGAATTCTTTGATAAAGAGCTGGTTCTCATTGAAAAGAGTTGTTGCCATTCGATTTCAACCAGGTGACAGATGTTTCAGTGATCTGGATTATGTAAAGCCGCTTCATGGATCCTTCTGTCACCTTCAATGTTTTATTTATTCAAATATGTTATAATTTTGCAAGACAGGTTTAAATGGGTTTGGAAGAAATTTGTTTTGAATTTGTTGGAATAAGACGGTAATTAACCCAGTAACAAATATTCCACCATACCAGCTACAGAATTTGATTTTTAATTGGGATGCTCCTAGCTGCATTCTAAAAAGTGCTTCTCTTAAAAATACAGACCTCTTCTGCTGAAAACTTATCGCCTTGTGACATCATTAAGCGTTTCATACTGTTGAAGAAGCAAAGAAAAGATTTGTTTTAAAATTTTATAAAGGGTTGCATGTAAAAAAAATACATATTTGTCCATTCTTATGTGGGAGAATGTTTGCTGTACCTTTCTTTCAATGAGATAAGTGCCACTGAAGTCTTGTGCATTACTTGCAACATATATTTTATATGTCTGTATGGGTATCTCAATTTACTTGATTTTTTTATTTTTATTTTTACAAAAAACAAAATACAAAGTACATTTTTCTTTTTTCTTAACAATACTATGTCCTATATCTCTTACATTTATTTACAATTATTTACATTACTTCTCATACTTTTTATTCCTCAATTCTAACCAATTGTAATACATGTCCCATATCTCATAAAATTCTGTAGCTTCCTTGTCTTTTATTTCTAGAGTAAGTTGGTACATCTCAGCACATTCTAGTATAAATAATCATTACATTTGTTGGTATATTTTCCCTTTTCCAGTATTGCGCATATGCAATGCGTGCAGCAGTTATTATGTGTATAATGATGTATTGAAGTTGTTTTTCTATCTTTGGATTGATTATGCCTAATAGGAATATTTCGGGTTTAAGTTCAATTTGTTCTTTTGTTATTTCCTGTATCCATCTCCTTATCTGCTCCCAATAAGTCTTTACTTTGGGGCATTGCCACCACATATGATAAAATGTTCCCTCTTTATTTTTACATTTCCAACAGTCCGGATTCATATTTTTATATATCTTAATGGCACCATGGAAGATATAATCTTTCTAGATTAGAGATCTAGAAATATTACATGCCAGTTTTTACTTTCTATCTGAACGTGTATTCAGGTTTGTCATGTTTTTGCCTCAGTTGAACATGGTTATAAACAGGAACTCTAGGTTGACTCTCATCCCTTTCCTCATTCTGAAGATATTTCCAGGCACAAAGTACAATTGTCACTTCTTTTATCTTCCTAGGTTTCCCAATTTGGGCCTCTATGTGTGCTACTTGTCTTTTAACTGAAGATTCTGATTTTGCTTGTAAATAAACTATCATACTTCTTCCAAGGTACAAATACATGGACCATATAAAAGACTTCCAAGTTGGCAGCTATAGCCATTCAATTTAGATTTAGAACCTATCTAAATCAGATTGAGGCCAATTGCCAATCATCTTATCTGGTTATTTCATTCAATATTTTATATCCCAATATGCTCTATTACCTTGTTTTATTTGACGTGGCCATTAAACTCAATAATCAACTACACTACTTATATGTATATGTTATTTTTCTTATTCTATTATTATACTTTTATTGCTGTACTTTTACATCCTTTAATTTATATTCTTTGTTTTTTATATATATTATATTTATATATACTTGTCAATTTTTATATATGCATATTGGTATTCACTTACTTTTTAGGTTTTCTATTGTTGTTTTCTGGCCTTATGGCTGTAATGAAGTGGTTTGATTTGATTTTCTCATTTAGCTCCTTTCTGGAAGGGGAACCTTTGCAGAAAGAGCTCAAATCAGAAGTAACAATCTGAGAAGACAATTTAAAGGGACAGATGCTTGTTCAGGTCATCTGCCTTCTGGCTGTTTAGGACTTTTAAAAATTTATACCAAGGCTTTGAACTGAGAAAGAACTTGAGAGCAATTTTCATTACTTTGGCATAACTTTTTGCATTTTAAATGATATTAGATTCTAGCCTAGAATGCATTCAGGCAGAAATGTGTTGAAATATCATCCCTGTTATGTTCAATACAAACTGATAGTATGAATTGCTTCACAATGAAAGGCTCTGATTATTATTTTTAAATGTGTTTTAATTTATGCCATCTGATTCCCAATGACCTTTTTGCCATCTAATACTTACTAATCCTTGTTAATATTGCCTTTAGCTTCTGGATCAAACATTTTAAATGCAGTCATTATAGTCTCTTCAGTATCTGTGCCTGCAGAAAATAATGAGATACAGTTGAATTTGTTGGAAATCTTGTTCCTTGTGAGCCTTAAAATGTTAGACTAGACTAGAGGATATAGCATCAGCTTCAATTGTTTTCAATAATTTGTTGTAGTTTTGAGGTCGAGCTGCCTCACAGGATTGGGCAAAAAACACTCAGCATTGTCTATGGTCCCTTGATGGGTTGACAAGTCATTAATCTATAAAAAAGGGATTGTTTAAAGGGAAAACAATTGCTTTGATTTGGAAAACTAAAATTAGGACAACAGGAATTAGGAGTTCCAAGTGAAGTCTGTTTCCAAATAAATCAGTTCATGCCTCTCTCAGTTTTCCACTTGGATACTCGTTTTCCAAACCGAATTTGGTTCTAAACATAATTTTGAACACATTTTGAGCGAAAATGCCACTACAAAATTCAAAAGTATATGGATCTATGTGGATCAGCTCACATCAAAAGTGGTGAAGACTCAATTTGGCAACCCCCAAAGTTTTCAACATTTCCTATTTGTTTTTATTTTAATTTTTATAGCCATTTTTATTACAGGACAGCCTGGCCAAATAAGGAGATTTGTAGGATCACTATTAAGCTCATTGTCCTAATTCAGGACAAACAGGAAAAACTCAGGCTAGGTTTTTGAAAAAAAAAATGGCTTCATAAGATAAGATAGTGCTAAACTTACCACTTAACTTTTCCCCAAATAGATTCAAAAACATGGTGAAATTAATAGGTCCTGTAGCTTCTTTAAGCATAGATTCTAATTCATCATCTTTGACATTTGCTTTACCTAAAATCAAACAAGAAATTAATTGCATCTGTCTTTAGCTATATCAGCTTTACATGGATCTTGTTGATGGTAAATTCTATAACTATTATAAATGCCAGCAAAAAGTAATTTTACCCGTTTTAAAAAAAAAAAACCAATTTCTAATTACCCGTTCCCCTTCAATTTATAATCATTTTAAAAGAGCATAAAGAGCTCAAGCAATTAATAACAAAAGTAGATTTTAAACTGAACTTATCTGCAATCTCCTTGAATCAATGGGGTAATATACTTGGAAATAGATTGAGAAATTATTTTAATTTACATTTAAATTATATTAATATCCTATAAATATATTTGCCATCTGTTGCTCTATAGAGAAGAGTCTGATTTTAAAGCTACTCTATTTTATTGCAATTTATTTCTGTTCCTTGTATTCTACTTAAGTGTAATTATTACTGTATCAAATTACAAAAGAAAGGAAAACAATTGATTTTAAATTGAGATGAAATAATTTCATAACACTTGCCCAATGATGCATAGGTATCTTTTAGGTCTTCTTTATCTATGAATCCATCTCTGTTCTGGTCAATTAGGGTGAAAGCCTATTTTTAAAAAAGGTATTTTATATTATTTATCTATTAGTTACTAATGCCATTTCAATCCTAATCATACTTACTTTGGTCTAAGTTCAATGTATTTCAATGGATAGGAAATTGGCACGAGAGCTTTTTCTATATTCCAACATTTGGAAAAGCAAAAATGTGATGGTTAAGCTTACACTTAGAGCTGTAGACTTCAATTTTTTTCTTATCAAATACATTCAAACATACTTCTAAGCCAGGATTTAACCATGCCTTTTGAATAAACCTAATTGTCTGTATTCACCCGTAGTACTAAGCCATAGCCAAAAAAAACCTCAGGATACTTTAGCACAAGATAGGAACACAGCCAATAATGTTATGGTTATATATCAACTAAAATGCTAACTCCTCTCCCATCAACCAATCCTGAGAATTATGTTTTGGTGTGGAATACTGATAGTCCCATTAGGTTCATTATTATAGTTCCATTAGGTTAATCATTCCTCTTCCAGAATTAGAGTTACAAATTATTCTGTGGGAAGATGGAATCATTATTGAATAGGCTCCTCTATTTGTTAGCAATGCTCTTAAATTTAGCTATTTGGACAAGCAGAAATGGAAAATATGAATTTCTAAATAATCAGCTTAAACTGGGTTAACAGTAATTCCCTTGATTCCAAGAACCACAAATACTGTAGTTATATGACATATTGTACAGTAGCTATGGAAAAAACATCGAACATCACAATAAATAGCCATTCACAGGACAGATTTGGGGGAGACTAATGACTGCTTCAGTAATATAGAGTAAGGTTTCTCAAGCTTAGCAACTTTAAGATACGTGGATTTCAACTCCCAGGACTCCCCAGTCAGCAAGCTGGGAGTTGAAGCTCACATATCTTAAAGCTGCCAAGATTGAGAAAACCTGAGCTTAGAGGAATTGGCTTTTATGGGTTTGAGGGCCACATTGGGCTTGACTTGACAGGTTGAGGGCTTCATTTCCAATGTAGGAAGGAGCAGGGTCTGCAAGGTGCAAAGTAAAGGTTTCCTCCATTCAGTAGTATCAGACTCTAGAGGATGATGTTCATCTGCATTTCCTAGCTGAAGGAGCCAGCATTGTCTGAAGATGCTTCTTCCATGGTCATGTGGCCAGCATGACTATATACTGAGGCAGACGGAACATTGTTACTTTCCCACCAAAGTGGTACCTATTTATCTACTTACATTTGCATGCTTTTGAATTGCTAGGCTGACGAGCTGGGGTAAGAAGGTATAGATTGGAATTAAGTGGGGGGAATAGATGCCCTTGTAAAAATGGGGGGGGGGAGTATTTTATTCCCCAATGAGGCTATGTTTTGCAACCCTGTCCACTACCCATCTGCCACACTTTTTGCATTCCTGTAATAGCAAAATATTTTCTCAAATCTTAAACATTTTTATCCAACTTTGTGAGTCAAGCAGCAAAATGTTTATACCTTTGTTCCTTTCAAACATGAAAAAATACATCTATTTATTTTTAGTTCAAACAGTTTTTCAACTGTAGACAAAGAAAATATTTCTTTTCTTCCCATGAAGAATGAAAATTTGAAATGACATTTCAAATTACATAGGTAGACTTCCACTCGTGTCAGAAATTCTTTTGTCTATGTTTCTCTCATCTCCCAAGTACTCTGAGCAGATCTGTAGGCTTGGGAAGAGAAAAAAAAAATCCCACTAGCAGACGTTTAATTCCATTATGAGATGAACTCCTTCACACAAGCCATTGTGAATGGCATGAATGTTTTTTTCAAAATCGAATCTGTAGACATAACCAGGTAGATTATTTGTATATTATTTATTCTGCTCTACATTTTCTATGAGGGAGAGAGAGAGAGAGACACCCTCTGATTTAAAGGAAACTATTCAGATAAATATTCACAGTAAAGATCTCCTATTTTTAAAGCACGGTAACAAGCCAGTTGTGTTGGATGACAATGGGTTAAGCTTGTCCAGTTTTTATAATGGAAGTACCCCTTCTGCGCAGGTTAAAACATCCTAAAGGGAAAAATGTTCTTACTTCCTTAAATTCTTGGATCTGGGTCTGTTCAAAGTTGGAGAAAACATTAGAGGAAGCCCTCTGAGCACGTTTGGCACCCCCTTCCTTCTTTTTCGTTTTTCGGCTGGCCTGAAATGAAGAGAATTATTAATTCAGTTAGATAGTACCTTGTTCTGATTACACAGTTAGAAGTAAATAGGGCAGTTGATAATAATTCTCAGGTTATTTTCCTAAATAACAAAATGCAGTCTTGATGCTATAATGTTTTATACATACCTTCTTGTACAAAAGCTACAGGGTATACAAACTGTAGTTTGGAGGTGGTTTATTTTTAAAAAATATATATATTTATCCTCTAAATATTTACCCTTTAAGAGATTACTCAATCAAGTTGGTGTTATGAAAACCTTACAGACATCATTTTTTATATAGGTTAAAAACTCACCATCTTTCCTGGAGAGATTCTCTGTTTCTCTGGGAAGCTGTCTGTATCAAACACTTCTTATATGTAGAGGAGGCTCTTGTCTTTACAGATGGCATTCCCAAAGAAGATCTCAAACACTGCAAGAACCCCCAGCTCACAAGATGACTCCATACTTGGTCAGAACTGCAAGATACCTTCTATTCCCTGGTGAATAAACAACAGTTACTTGAAGTTGTCTAGTAAGACATTCCTTCAATTGCTATGAGCTGCAATATCTGTGGTGGTGAATTCAACTGTCACTCAAGCTATTTTTGTGTACCTTTTGAACTCATATATTATAACAGTAAGAACAGTTTCTCACTGGACAGCGATTAAACAAGCATTAACTTTTTAAGGAAGACTTGTAAATTCTACCCCTGTATATTCTGAGAAATACATCTGGAAGATGCTATATTGGGAAGGAGCAATTTCTTGATGTAATTCATCATGATTTCTTAGAACTAAACAAAATTTGATTTTGTAGTTTCCTCCATACTTCAATAACAACAACAACAATAGTTATTGTTATTGTTACTAACTGTAAATACAAAAAATCCTGGAGAATTCATCATGAACTTGAATGCGGTAGAGTAGACCTTGATGGTTTTGACTTATTTAAACAGGTTAACATATTCAGTCCCAGCCATTCCTATTTATAGAAAGCTAGATATCCCTTTTGAGTATCTGGATTCACACAACATGGTAAATCATAATTATACAATCATAGTTGCCATCATACATAAGCAAACTGTATTGGGGTTTGCTTTGGGTACCAATTTTTAAATTTAAACAATTCATTTAATTTATTGAAATGACTTATGCAATTAATGAATTACTTTATAATTTATTGCAAAATGAAATATCACTAAACAAACATTTAAAATGACCGGCCTTGTTAGAAATATTTATGGTCTCCAAATATTCTTGTGGAATGGTTTCTTGCAGTTCAGATAATTTGCCCACAGCTGCTCATGCTAATAATATTCACTGATTATATTGTATTGTGATATTCTCCCTGGGACTTTGGCAGGCTGTGTGTGTGTATCTTTACTCTCTGCTGTTGCTCTCTTCTTTCGGATCCAATTTAAGGAAGTTTTAAAGATGCTGTGTCTTAGAGTAGTTGAAAACATTTTCAACTTGTATCTTTCAAAACATATATTGTTCTTTTTAAGTAAATCAATAATAACAAGCTTTTCCAACTGCTTGATGAATTAATCATGGCATATAAATTCTATTGCATCAAACAATATATAATGTAAAAACCCTTTTATTTGGATATAAAAATGATTAAATTCATAAATACTGTAGAATTGCTGAGCCAGTAAGAATTATGCTTATTGGCTTACACTACTAGACTGCTGTGTGGTTGGTCTACAGCAGGGGGGGTCTGCAACCTTGTCAACTTTAAGACTTGTGGACTTCAGCTCCCAGAATTCCTCAGCCAGCTATGCTGGCTGAGGAATTCTGGGAGCTGAAGTCCACAAGTCTTAAAGTTGACAAGGTTGCAGACCCCTGGTCTACAGTACACAAACATAGGGATAGACATTGTTAGAATAATTCTTAGATTCTAAGCCTACAAAATATCACCATATAAACATGTTGATGTTATTTATAAAGATTTCTTTTTATGTGATTTTAAATATAGTTCAAAACGTTAAACATGCAATGTTAAAAAGAAAATTGGTCGCAGACTTTCCGTGGGATTCCTCAGAGGCGTATTCTGCCTGTCGTAGCTCTATAAAAAAAAAAAAAATCCCTTTCCAGTGTGATCTTCCATTTTCTATCTCTACCTTTCTCGTTTTGGATCGTCGACGCTGCTAACGTCAAAGAACGCGCCTGCGTTCTAAACGGCTGGGTGCGTCACATCCGTTTTTGCCTTCGGCCGGGAGGAGAAGATGATTCCCCCGGTGGAGGTTTCCCCGCTGATCAAGGTGAGCTGAGACGCCGCGCGTGCCACTTCGGGCTTCCGCGTGTATGTTCGTGTGGAGGGGGTGTGTGTGTGCAATTTGCACGCGCTCCGTCTCGTGATGGGCGAGGCCTGCAAAACGGGGGAGGCCAGCCGGCGTCCTCTTTTAGTCGGAAGGTGGCGGTGGAGGTCACGGAGAATGGGGGACGGTGGTGGGTCCGTCTCCTGCCCTTTCGATCTGGTTGCAGATCCAGAGTCTTCCACGTAGACTCGTCTTTCCTGAGTTTTCGAGTGAATTTCCCTTCCCTCCGTCTCTTGGCTCAAGGGGCGTCTTGTTCAATAAAACTCTCGGGTTTTTTGCAAAACGTGATAATCTTGTGGAATACGAAAGGGCTCTTACGAATTCCAGAGGGGGTTAGCAGAAAGGTTTATTTGCGCAGGTTCAGAGGCATATGGAGACAGGCAATTCTGAACAAGGAGGGCGGGATTAGACTTCAGTTTTATACTTTCCTTTTCTTAGGAACAAAGGACTACACCTTGTAATACACCTTGTAATACATTAGGATCGTTTCTCATGGGCATACAATGGTTGGTTTTGCTACATACAAAGTATCTATGTGCAATGTGCGTTTGGTTAGTCACATATTATTGACACAGAACTTTCTCAGTGATTATGCATTACATCATTATTCTAGCAATTATGCAGACAAATCATTATTCCAGCAATTGTTCATTATTCTACCTTATTTTACCACATTAATAAGATAGCCTTTATGGTAGCTTTTTTTTCTGTGAACACACTGGCACACATTTAAAAAAAATGAAATTCTGATGTTCGCTGTCAATACAGTAGTGGCCAAAATTGTGGAAACCTTTTGGGAAAAGTGTACAGTAGAAATGCCACCTTTGGTTAAGTTTCCACCCATTTTTCTTCTAATTTCTTTATAACTGTAGCCTTGTTCACTTAATAATACTATTTTACATTGCTTTCTGGGCAACCAGTCAACTCTTTGCACCATTACTTTAATTTTATTACGTTTTACAAGCTCACTAAGTGAAAGAACACAAAAAAACCCCAACCAACTTGATAGCGATCACATAACACTGACAAATGTCCTCCTCTCAGCTTCAATACATGACATCAATAACTGAATCCTACTGTGATCTGATTGGCTCATTGCCAAAACAAGGTGACACCCGATTGGCTCTCTAAACACTCATGCTCATTGGCTACAATCAGATGAAGGAAAACTACCTGATATCAACCTAAGCAAGTTGTGCTTCCTTTTTCTGATTATTTGGCTATAACATTTCATAGAATACAGTACAGATAATTGAACAAACTATGTTGCATTACATTCTTGATTAAATTATCTTTCCTTTGTTATATAATTTTATGGTACTACTCCAAAATAAAGTGGTGGTATTAGCCATCAAACCTCAAAAATACACTTTTCCCAAAAGGTTTCCATAATTTTGGCCACTACTGTGTATATATATACACACAGACACACACACATATACATATATACATATACATACATATGCAATATATATACAAACATACACACATTTATTAATCACAGACCATTTACAATACATAAAAAGCATTTATAAGTGGTGTCTCATTCAGACTCTTCTGAGCACTTAACAGAGATGCCCAAAGAATAAAAAGACTTTTTATCTACAAGTTAGCTGTACCAGAAAAGTTCTTGTGAAATATAATAACGATACCTAAATATACCCATCATGGAGAGTCTGTCTTGAATGCTGTTTAAAAGCCATTTTGGCTTTACCAAAGGATATATGTGTTAGTCCTGTCAGGTAGTCCAGACAAGAAGAACTATGAGTACTAGCTCTATCTTTGTTGTAATATTACATTAAAAGCAGTAATTGTTACATTAACGGAATTTTATAAGTCTTAAAGTATTTCTGCCCTGCTTTATTTTTACTTTCTGGAATGCTTTTGTGGGCTGAGATATTGTTTACATGATGGTTCTATAATCTTCAACTCCCTTTTGTCTCGCAAGGACCTTCCAACATACCATTACAATATAAAAATATCTGGGAAACCTTTGGAAAACATGGTCAAAGTGTTCAAACAAGTATAATTATTGCTATTTTTGTATTCTGTGTTTTGTATTCTGGTTACTGCTTTTATGCTGCTAAAAGCAAGTATAGTATACAAAATTGTATAGGTACTCCTTGACTTAAGACCAAAGTTGGGATCAGAATTTCTGTTGCTAAGCAAGGTGTTGTTAAGTGAGTCATGTCAGACCTGGGCATTTTACAGCCCTCAGGCCACATCCAGCTCTTTGGTTGTCCCTGTCCAACCCGCATGACGTCAATCAGAAATTAGAAATAAAATGTAAATAAGTGCACACTATGCATTCAATACAACTGTATTACTTTTATTTTGAAGGTGACTGCTTTTTTTTCCTATTTACATATGGTGTGCGTGCATGCCTACACACTTTCACAGCCTATTGGTTCGGCCTTCCATAACAGTCCCAGTTCCTTGTGTGGCTATGTGGGGAAATTAATTGTCCACCCCTGATTTAAGTGAATCACTGCCATTGTTAAACAAATCTGGCTTCCCCCATTGACTTTGCTTGTTGGAAGCCAGCTGTGATCCAGCCAGCAAATGGTGACCACGTAACTGACTCCAGGACACTGCAGCCATGATAAATACATGCTAGTTGCAAAGCATCTGAATTTTGATCACATGACCATGGGGAAGCTATGATGATTCGAAAGACATTTTTCTCAGTGCTGTTGTAACATTGAATGGTTGCTAAACAAATGGTATAATGTGTATACCATTTTATAACAATAGTGGGTATACAGAATGGTATAATTTGTGTGTGTGTGTGTGTATTGCATTGCATTGGAATATTTCAATTCAGTCTTTTTGTGAATTAAGTATAACATTCTTTATGGTTTACATTTCTGTAATTTATTTAAAGTTCTGCAGATACTCCGCACTGCTGTTGGGAATCATTTATGGAGCAAGAAGATATGGTAAGTGGTTAACAAAAATAACCTTTTTGGTTATGTTTGCATTGTGAAAAGCTGATGTTTGGTTTTGGAAAATACATCAGTAATGCAATTAAACAGTACTGTAATATTTTTGCAATAGATGCATTTACATCCAGATGTTTCATCTGGCTTCTTAACAGTTATTCACAAGCATCTTCTGAGAAGTCTTAGATGACTTCATGTGAAAAAAATAAGTGCACAAGATTGCTTGTTGTATATTGATATGATATCAACTTATTTTTTTATTGCTCCTGATTGGAGTTGGCATTTATACTTCCAGAATTACAATTTGATGCATATATTTATTGATGCATGAACATTATGAGCGTATTCAGTTTTATAAAGCATTTAAAAAAAATCAGTATCAGTAAAATGGACAGCATATAAATTTAATAAATCAATTAAGAGCATTAAAAAACTTGTTAAAGAGCCATTCTGAATGTAGAAGTTCAGAGCTTATTAATAAGTAAAAATATATAAAGTATGAAATAGTATACTGTCTATATTTACCTTTTTTCTATATTTTGTGAAATTGCATCTTAATTAATTAAATATTAGCAATGCTAAAAGTGGAGAACAAGCCTGATCCACTGTGAAGCTAAAATTATTCCAGAGGCCTATGTTAAATATTTTGTATCGTGAAACTCCACCTGCTTTTAATGAATTGAAAGTACGGAACTGTGAAACAATAAATCATAATGCATTTCTCTTTCCTCTGAATACATATTGTTTTACTTTACAATAGCTTATTTGAAGCCTATCGCTGCAGAGGATAGGAGAATAGAAGCAGAGGAACGAGCAAAACAGGAGGAATTGAAAAGAATTGCAAAAGCATTGGAAGAAGGTATTTTCTGTAAATGTGTTTGATTTTGACAACAGTCGCTAAATGGTTGTAAGTGGATTACCTCTTTGTCAACAGAAAGTTGATGTTTTGGATTTCAGTGAAACTTCTCCCCCCCACACACACATACATACATACACACATATATACAAACAAACATATAGAGAGATCCAGTTTTGTTTAATGGTTAAGGCACCAGGCTAGAGAGTGGGAGACTGAATTCTAATTCTGCCATAGCCATGAAAACCAGCTGGCCCAGTTACTTTCTCTCAGCTCAACCCACCTCACAGGGTTGCTGTTGTGAGGAAAATTGGAGGAGGAAAGTATGCTGGATGTCTTCACCGCCTTGAGTTATTTGTAAAAATAACGAAGGATATAAATGAATTATATGCATTTCTAATATAGTAAGAATACAAACAAAAGATAGGAAGTGGGAAAAAGAAAGGAAGTGAATAAAACATATAATTATGCCTTCTGCCTGTCTTTCTATTGAGTAATGATCATAATATTTTACCCCTCTTCTTTGTCCCTTTTTAATCTTTTCAATCTTTTTACTTTCAACAGAAAGTCCACATAAAGTTTCTAGTCTTTCAAAAACGTCTTTCTCCTATTTTTGTTTTCCTGACCAAACTGGCCAGCTTTAAACATTTCTGCAAATTCCGTTAACTTTAAAATCCAATCTTCCACTGGAAGTGTGTCGTTGCTTTTCCAAGTTTGTGCATTCAATACTCTTACTGCATAGGAAAACAGTACTTCAGGCATATGCTCCTGGGGGACTGCAGGAAATGATGAAAAATACCTCATGATGCAAACACCATGGATTATATGCTTGAATCAAATGTTTCCATGTATGTCATTTTTCTTTTATTGTGGTTGGCTGTGGAGGCCTATCATCTTAGGCATCAGTGGAAAGAGCGAGTCCTATATCATCAGAGGTTTCTCCAGGACAGTTGTTGATTTCCATGAATGTGCTTCAAGAGTGGCTATATTTGATTGTACATGATTTTAAATATTACTTTTAATTTGGGAAAAATATAGTATAAGATAAGATAAGATAACCTTTATTGTCATTTTTTTTATTGTGGGCACAACGGCACACATCAAAAATGAAATTTAGTTGCCCGCTCTCAAAGTGAAAACACATACATGATGCATCTAAACATACTATGTACAATATATGTATAGACCCACACCCCTACATATACATAATAATATTATTGTGTCTTTGATCATCTGGCAGCTAAGCTATCATCAGTTAAGGAGAAATATATTTCATATAGCTTTCTTCAAAACTCTGTTTAAAACCTGTGTGCATTTAGGATGCATCTTGGTGCTTAATTGCCTCTTTTTCTTTTTCAGCTCAAGAATCAATACTGAAATAAACCTCCTCGGTCCTCATCTTTATCTCCAGTGCTTGAAATGTTGAGGCAGATAATTCTGAATGGCTAAAATACATTTATTTACTTCAGTAAATAGACATTCACGACAATGTTGATTTCCTTAATGTGTATAGTGCTAATTAAAAAAGAAATGACAAAATGAAACACAATGTGCTGATCTGATTTTGTTCTCGAAGTCCTTGTGTTGATGCTGGGATCTAGCCCTTCTAATATAATAAAGCATTAACTGTTCAGCCACTGTGCTAGAGAAAGCCCATTTGTATTCTGTCTGGAACGAATACATATACTCTAGTGCTAGTGATGTTAGCGCTGGTAATGTTATCTAGCTTGGGTAATGAAACATCTGCAAGAAAACAGCTAAGCTTGGAGAGCACCAAGGACCCCTCATTTCAACCCTGAGCTGTCCAATCTAGGGCAAATGAGCCTGAAATAGCTATACTAGTCTCCCACTAACTCTTTGTCAGCCACAAAATTTTGAATTTATAGTGTTCACAGTATGTGAGGTCTGCCTGAAAAACATGCTCCTAGATTGGAGCAAAGCGCAGAACAGACTGGTTTATAATTGGTAGACCGGGTGCCTCACCCAACAGATAAGATATATATCCTCCCTGGTTTCGGCTGACAGGAGTAAGGGGGAGCCTGTGGTTCAAAAGGGTAATACAGCTGCCTAACATGCAAGCTGCCCAGGTTTGAATCCCTGAAGGGTGTGACTAGCTTTTTAGTTTTTATCAGGTATGGATTGTAAAGACATTATGTCAGACTAATGTTATTCACATTTGCATACTTAAGAAAGGTTTGGAAAAAATCAAATGAAACCTACTGAAATCAATGTTGTATTGTATTAGAAATATTTGAAGTGCAGCAGTCAGAACTTAGGTGAGGGAAGAAGTGCTAATTTCTTAAGAGGTTTAGAAAGGGGTAATTCAGTTCCACTGATAACATTTTTTTCTGAAGGTACATATGTTCGATTATTTATAGTGTGTACTCCCAAGAATTATAAGTTAATATTCATTAATGATTAATAATTGAAAGAAAGCAGTTATTGAGCATATAACTGAAAATTTAGCTTTTCCCAAATGCCCTGGCTATGTTTTTTTTTTATTAAAACTAGAATACTAGTTATAATAATGAATGAAAGGTGGATGCACTGTGATTATTAAAGAAATATCCCAACCCCATAAACACAGGTTAAATCTGTTGTCATCAAGATATCACAACAGGTTGGCTGGAAAGGGAATATTCAAATAAATAATAGTGACACAATCAGAAGGCATATTTGTTAATAAACAGGCATTTGAAAGTCGTAGTCTTCTGTTAGGTAGACTGTATCTAAAGAAGATGTTCCACAGTGTTTGGAGACACCTGCCTACTATATATGATGAAAGCTATATATTAAGTGGTGAAAGGACAAATGTTTTTGTTGGTGACTAGATAAACTGTCCTGAGGTTCATTGGGAAGCAAGCTGCTGTGATTAAGAATAGACATTGGTCTGATCCAAAGAATATTCCAATTTCTGCTTTTTATAGCATTCCATTGTATGAAAATAACAAGCTTTTGCTGACCAATGTGAATTCTACCAATTGGAAAGCACAGACCACCAATTAATTCTCAATAGGGGATGTAGATTTTCTTAACTTTGCACTACTACTATGTAGTTTTCGATTTCCTCAGAAAACTACCTGCCAGTAACACCTTGTGCACTAATCAGTAATCCATTTTCATTCTTCCTGATGCCCTTATGCCAAACCTCATCCATATACCTCATGCTATTTGGCTGTTGCCTTTTCTCTATTCTCTGTTCCTAGAAGTCGGTACTGTATCCATCTGCATGTTTTATTTTCACGTTGGAAGGAGCTTAGGCACAGCATATGCTGAAAAAAAACTGAGAACTGTATTTATATTGAAAGACTTAAGGCAGGTAGATGAATGAATGGGAGGTTTTTAAATATTTTATTTTAAAAAACAACTCTCTTCAAGTTAAATTTGTACACAGACTTGTGAGATTTAACTACAATTATACAGTCAGTTACCAGAAACTAGTCTCTAGCCTTGCTATCATATTTGTAATACGATGATGTTATCCAATCATGTCTGATTCATTGTAATTCTACGGACCAGCTCTCTACACATTTTTGTTCATCTTTTATGCCTTTTTTCATTTATTTTATGCTTTGGCTGGCGGTAGCTTTGATAGTATCTACTTATCCTGTTTTTTTGGCAGCCTCATTGCCTCTTACCGCTGACCATGCCAAGGATAACTTCCTTTTCCAGTGAGTTTGATCGGATGATGTGACTGAAATAAGTACTGTTAAGATAGAATTTTGTGATTTTGCACAGCAGCGCTATGTCTGGTACCGTATGCTCCAGTATTTGTTTGCCACCTTTGCTGACCGAAGCATGTTCAGGAGCCTTCTCCAAGACCACAGCTTGAGCAAGTCAATTTTCTTCCTGCCTAGTTTTGTCATGGTCCAGCCATTGGTAGCTTTGGAAACATGATAGAGCGGAATAATCTCCATTTAGTTGCCAGGCTGATGTCCTTGCTTTTCCATATTCATTTCCATACTCATTTGTGATGTAAGAGCAATTTGCTTATATACAGTTTAAGTTCTATTTCATTCAATAGTACTAAATTATAATTCTGGATGCTCAGTCCCCAATTCCTCCCATGTTTTTACAGAATTTTATTTTATTTTACTGGAGCTGGGCAGCCAATAAATATAAATAATAATAATAAAAAAATTTCAAACCATGAATGCTTATATGCTCTGCTTTCCCATTATATCTCTGACATTTTATTTCATGAAAATAAACTGCATTTGCCAATAATTACTAGCTCTTCTGGATGTTTTAGTGGTTATTTGGTCTATAAGCAGAAACTGTTCATAACAAATTATTGCTTTGGATCTGAAAGGAAGCCTCACATTTGTGTGTGTGTGTCTTTAAGCTGGGATGTGCTTCTTTCAATACAAGAAGGAACTATTCTGTAAGAACAGGTAAAGGTTAATGTCCAATGCCAGATTTGAGGCTTTAGACCAGTGATGGTGAACCTTTTAGAGACTGAGTGCCCAAAAACCGGCCCTGCCCTGTCTCACCACCCCAATCCGCCTCCCATCCTACCCGCTCCACCCCCACCTGGCCCACCCACAGGGCCATTCACCACCTCTATGGCCCGCCGCAAATCGCCCAGGCAGCTCAGCAGCGCCATGGCGGCCGCGCCTTCTGCCCGCACCCCGCAGCATCAACCGTGTGATGGGGTGTGAGGGCGGAGTTTTGTCCCCGCTGCCCAGCTGCCATGTCCTTGGTTGCGCTGCTCCATGTGGGCCACGCTTGGGGGCAACTCTCCGGGGGGGCTGCTGGTGAGGGCCGCAGGGGAGGCGGGGCTGGGGTGACGGCGCACGTGCCCACAGAGAGGGCTCTGAGTGCCGCCTGTGGCACGCGTGCCATAGGCTCACCACTACTGCTTTAGATCCTCTACTGTACATATGAAAGAAAGATTGCAACTTAATGTCTTGCAGATGCAGGATTTGTGGCCATAGTGGGTTTCTTCCCTAGTGATTTGCATGGGGATAGACTTCATTTTTCCCCTTTGATGGCTGATTGTATCCTATCTATAGATTAGCCTCTCCTTTGTATACACTGCTGTGAAATAATTCATTGTAGAGACTATCAATGAGAGCACCTTAGATTCTCCAAAGCTTTGTTGTGACCCTGCTTACTTTCAAACTACTTCAGCCATGATGGGCCTTTGATTTTATAAGCCAGTCTTGAGAAGCAGTTTATTCTAGATTTCTAATAATATAGCCACAAAATACCATAAGAGGCAGAGAGTTAGTTCAGCGATACAGAATGTTCATATAGCTCACACATGTCTGCATGTCATGTCCCAGGACAACTTTTGAACATATAACAGCATCTTCAGCTATTTAGCTATATATCTTAAGTTTTTCAAGGGGACGGATCAATGCAGAGTTTGCATTTGAAAATACACATTTGATTCTCTAGATCCATGTTGCTACGACTCTTGTTCATCTGTACATGTGGCAAATCTAGTTCTGACGTTGAATATGTCAAACAGCCCTTAAGTAATCTTGGCTTATTGTAATCTTGCACTGTTATGTGTTGACCTAAATAATGCAACAAGTTGAAGATGAGGTAACAGGTCCTCCATTGGCCATTGGTGCTGCAAAAGAAAAGAACAATGATTAGCTGAGCTCTTCAATGGGTGTCAATGTAAAAATTGGCTATGAAGAACCATCTGCTTATTGTTTGCATGCCAGGCACTGTTTTAATTTTAGGACATGAAAAAGAAGTTAACTGAACTGAGAGGGGAATGTCAAAATCAATTGGATTTTGGAATTGCTAGAAAGGAAGAATTTTGTTGACAGAAAGGAGATAAGTTTATAAAATTGATATAGATGAGGATGGATGAAAGGGCATGACTAAACTTGTACTTCATTTAGAGAAATTGCTAGCTGTGCTCTAAACCTACCGTAATTCCTCTATTGATTTTGTTCTTATTGCTTTATTCTTTAAACAAAGAACAAAGGGGGGGGGAGTAAAAAAAAAAAGGAAATGCCACGAATAATACACAGTTATGTTTTACATGACAATTTCAATAGAGGATGACCATGTTTCATTGAAATTTATTCATACTCAATCTATGTATATAAGCAATTTGTTTATAAATCATAAGTCATACCATGTCTTCAATCCACTGAACAATTGGGGGTCATAAATTAGTCTTTCCAATTCTGAAGGAACCTCTCCTCTTAACCATAGCAAAATAAACTAACCTTCCTCCTGTACATAGGATGCTTTGATATTTTAATATGTTTTATCAGAATCAGCTCTCTCTCTCTCACACACACTATTCAGGTCAGATAATTTAAAGCCAGTGGCTGGAAGGAGAAAGAATATTAGAGAGCCTAAGTTTCATTCCTTTTCTAACCTTGAGGAACATCTGTCTTTTGATCCTTCTTCTGTTCTTCCTGCACGGCTGCCATCTTTGCTTCATACACGTCAGCCAGAGCTTTCCACTCTTTGCGATTGTTGAGTAGTCTTTCATACATCGGCAGAATTTCAGGGTGGAACTGTGAAAATTCCTACATGAGCAAACAATAGGAAGAAGGATCCCAAGTGAATGATCTCCAAGTCTTTTGGCAAACTTGAGCCTCCTGCAGTGTTTGTAGCCTTTACCGGTCATTGTAATATCTCCTTGTTACAGATAGTCTTCAATTTATAGGCCACAAGTGAGCCCAAAATTTCTATTGCTAAGCAAGACAGTTTTTGAGTGAGTTTTGATCCATTTTACAACCTTTTCTTGTCAAAGTTGCTAATAATAACACTGCGGTTATTAAGTTAGTAACACAGTTGTTAAGTGAATCTGGTTTCTACATTGTGTTTGCTTGCCAGAAGATCACAAAAAGTGATCACTTGACCCTGTGATACTGTAACCATCATAAACACATGCCAGTTGACAGGCGTCCAAATTTTGATCACGTGACTGTGGGGATGCTGCAACATTTTTAAGTGTGAATGACAGTTATAAGTCTCTTTTTCCAGTGCCGTTTAAACTCAGAACGGCCACTAAATAAATGTCTTTAAGTTGAAGACTACCTGTATAGCTCTTTTGAACTCGATTGCTGCAGCCGCTCTCTTCCTATAAAGTCTGAACTGTATGATCATCATCAGCCAAGCATGTTGGGGATAAATGTGGGTCATTTACCTGTCTGATTTTTTTATAATAATAATAATAACAACAACAACAATAATAATAATGCGATGATATCCATCCTGATAACGATGTGGATGTTGAACTGAAGGTATTCCATCCTGCGACGATATCTGTAATACCTTCAATTCAAAAATCCACATCTGCTATCTCAGGTCTTTGGTAAGGATAGGTAGACAAAAATGCCAAATCCAGTCTGAACATCTGGGTGACTGTGTGATGATCAATAATAACAATAACAGAGTTGGAAGGGACCTTGGAGGTCATCTACTCCAACCCCTCCTGCTCAGGCAGGAAACCCTATACCATTTCAGACAAATGGTTGTCCAATCTCTTCTTAAAAACTTCCAGTGTTGGAGCATTCACAACTTCTGGAGGCAAATTGTTCCACTGATTAATTGTTCTAACTGTCCGGAAATTTCTCCTTAGTTCTAGGTTGTTTCTCTCCTTGATTAGTTTCCACCCATTGCTTCTTGTCCTGCCCTCAGGAGCTTTGGAGAATAGCTTGACTCCCTCTTCTCCTGAGATATTGGAACACTGCTATCATGTCCCCCCTTGTCCTTCTCTTCATTAAACTAGACATACCCAATTCCAGCAGCTGTTCCTTATATGCTTTAGCCTCCAGTCCCCTAATCATCTTTGTTGCTCTTCTCTGTACTCTTTCTAGAGTCTCAACATCTTTTTTACATTTTGATTTGTAGAACAAGGATAAACTTAAGTGTTATGATTTGGGATGTAATTGCCTTTATAATATTGATTTCTATTTATCTTGAGGCGTTCCTCAGGAAAGCTAATTCCATTTCTTGGTCATTTCAACTACCCCTTTCTTATAAGCTGCATTAAGCATCACTTACACAGCAAAGAACTACCCAAGGTTAAAAGCATAATTTGCTTCAAGAAAAGAGAAGGGTATCTTTAAGAAGTAAAACCTTTAATTGGAAATAAATCTGACATCTTTCTGTTTTGCTTGATGATTTGCTTATTTGTTGTAGTCACTGGAAATCCTAACCTAACTCTACCATCTGTTCATTAAGAATACTGTCCACCAAGAATAATATCGGAACTTGAAGAACACGTCTTTGGAAGATGAGATATTTTAGAAAGGAAGCAGTGAATGCTCTCTTGTCCCACATAGAGCTGATAGACATTTTTGAGATTGCAAAAGCATTTTTCTCAAGCATCTCAAAACAACAGCTAGGTCAGTTGCCTTCCTCACCTAATAATGCAAATCATTTGCAAGTTCCATTATGCAATATCAAACAATGTAAAATAAAGATATACAGTATAAGGTAGAATTCTTGATGTTCTCTGAAGTTCTCTGATTGATTGAAGACAGTTCATCACCCATCTAGGTATGAGAGAGTGTGGGTTTGTTTCCTGTTTGTATAAAACAGCTTCTACTTTTTGTGGGAGTATAGTTTTTTGGGGAGATAGTTTTGTCCCTACCCTGATGTTACTCATTTTCAAACTTGATCTTTTCTCCTCGTCGCTCAAATTTCATCAGATTCTGTTTGGTTTTGGAGAGCTGTCTTGTTGACTGAGAAAGTTCAACCAATTTATATATATATTTTTCCAACATCCCACTGGAGAGGATAGAAAACTCAGAAAATGCTAGAGTGCCACTCTAGATTCTCATTTTAAAAATAGTGAACAACAACAAAAAAAGCTAGTTCCTGAACAAAAAAACAGAAAAGGAAATGGAAATCTGGCTTCTTAACTCCCAAAAGATTTGTACTAAGGTGCTATAAGGAGAGATGTTGGGGATAAAAAATATCTGCCTCAACTAGGTATAAACAACTTAATGCCATCCAGATGGTTTGGATTACAATTTTTATAATAGCAATAGCACTTAGACTTATATGCCGCTTCACAATGCTTTATAGCCCTCTCCAAGCGGTTTACAGAGTCAGCGTATTGCCCCCCAACAATTTGGGTCCTCATTTTACCGACCTCGGAAGGATGGAAGGCTGAGTCAACCTTGAGCCGGTCAGGATCGAACTGCCGAACTGCTGGCAGCCGGCAGTCAACCGAAGTAGCCTGCAGTACTGCATTCTAACCACTGCTAATCCCTTGCTATTGCTTATGTTTCCTGAAAGTGAGGGGAGATGAAATCCAAATCACCTAGACGAGGGCAAGAGGTTTCATACAGTGACTTAGACTTAATAAAAGTTCCTAGAGCTTATAGATCAGATTGTTAATCTGCTTACCTTGTATACAAATGTGCACACAAAGTCAATGAAGCCAACCTGAAGTTTGGGAAGCTCCGCAGCTTTTCTTCTGTCCATCATAGGCTAGGAAACAATAGCAATGGTTGTAGGCACACTCATTAAATCCTCTTAAGAAACAGAGTTTTGAAGTCTGAATTATAATGTTGCCAAGAAACCTTGGGGTTTAAAGCACGCTATTAGTATAGGAAGCCCTTGACAACAACCACAACTGAGGTCAAAATTTCTGTTGGTAAGTGAGACATTTGTTAAGTGAGTTTTGCCTCATTTTGTGACCTTTCTTGCCACAATTCTTAAGTGAATCATTGCAGTTGTTAAGTTAGTCACACGGTTGTTAAGTGATTCTGTCTTCCCCGTTGACTTTGCTTATCAGAAGGGCACAAAAGCTGTCCACATGACCCCGGGACGCTGCAACCGTCATAAATATGAATCAGTTGCCAAGCATCTGAATTTTGATCATGTGACCATGGGGATGCTGCCATGGTTGTAAGTGTGAAAAATGATCATGTCACTTTTTTCAGTGCCGTTGTAACTTCAAATGGTCACTAAATAAACTGTTGTAAATCAACAATTACCTGTAATGAGCCTCATAACTTTAGTGCAGGGGTCTTCAAACTTGGCCCTTTTATGACTTGTGGACTTCAACTCCCAGAATTCCTCAGCCAGCGTGCCTGGCTGAGGAATTCTGGGAGTTGAAGTCCACAAGTCATAAAAGGGCCAAGGTTGAAGACCCCTGTTCTACTATATAACAGAATAACAGAGTTGGAAGAGACCTTGGAGGTCTTCTAATCCAACGCCCTGCTTAAGCCTATACCATTTCAGACAAATTGTTGTCCAATCACTTCTTAAAAACCTCCAGTGTTGGAGCACCCGCAACTTCTGGAGGCAAGTTGTTCTAATTGTCAGGAAATTTCCCCTTAGTTCTAGGTTGCTTGTCTCCTTGATTAATTTCAATCCATTGCATTGCTAAATGTCTATGGAGAGTCTCAGTCATCCAGGTCATAGTTGTCCCAAAGATGCTTTTTCATGAGGCAACTGGTCTTTTTTTTTTTCTTTGAGACATTTCGCTTCTCATCCAAGAAGTTTCTTTAGCTTCTTGGATGAGAAGTGAAACGTCTTCAAAGAAAAACAAGAAAGTCCAGTTGACTCGTGAAAAAGCATCTTTGGGTTTCCATCCATTGCTTCTTGTCCTGCCTATGTTCTAAGCAAGGCTGTTATTTTGCATGTCTTGCAGTGCTGATGCCCACTAAATCAGAACTGAGCTAACTCTGGCTTTTCCTCCTACTGGAAGGACATTGGAAAAGAGGGCTGCCCAAAGTACAGGTTTTCATCTTCTAAGAGTAGAAAGGTTACTAGAGGAAAAAGCAGAAGAAGGGAGAAAGCAACTCATTGACTATTTTTAATGAACTTACAATAGGCTGTTGTTGAAGTACAGAAATTTCCAGATCTCCCTGTTCCCAGAATTCAGCTGCTACAAATAATGCCACCTGTACATGGAAACAAACTTTTAAGATGTTGGCATTCACATTTCACGACTCTTGTTATTTTGTCATTGTAGCAGCTATAAAATCATCTTATCATTATCAATTCCCACACTTGGAAGCATTCTATATGTTTGAGTGCTCCTTTACCACCTTGTTGTTTCAAGGTATAAACTCACAAGGTCATTGAGGCCAATGAGGTTTTAAACCTCTAAAATTTGTAGAGCATCACTTAATAGTTTTCTTAAACACAACCTGTGACTATTATCTGTAAAAAAAAAAACCAAATCTCTGGAAGATAATACTTTTTCACATCTGACTTGTTAAATAGAGATGTTAGACTGGTTGCAAATTGTGTTGATGGAATTTCTCCATTATATGAAAAACTACAAGTGAAAGACCAAAGTGATAAAGAAAGAAACAATCGCAATGCAAAGTTTATATTGTCTTATTGGGGCAGGATCCAGTCTTTTCTTTATACTGTAGGATCAACGCTCCACTCTATGATAAGGAAAATGCACAATCCACAAATTGCTCTTAACTTTTAAAGAAAGGGTACTGAGTGAAAGGCACCTCACCTTACTCTGGATTTCCCAGGGTTTTGCTATAGCAGATAAATCACAGGCAGTCATCATCATAGCCCTGTAAAGAAGAAGCCAGAAGGAAAAACAGAATGAAGGAATGTGTGCTTCTCTGTCCATTCACATTCTCTCAAGTAGCAAAACTATTGCACCAAAGCATTTCCAAGCAGCCCTCCAAGGCAGATACATGCATATCCTTACAAGGATACATGGAAGGCCTGATCGAAAAGGAACCCATTGAGAAATAGAGAAATGTGTTTTGGGAGAAAAGCTGGCTGAGGAATTCTGGGAGTTGAAGTCCACAAGTCTTAAAGTTGCCAAGGTTGAGGACCCCTGTTCTAGAGAAACAGCTCTAGAAGGCTTAGCTATTTCCATCAGGGTTCTGCATCAAAGTGCCCACATTGTTTTACTCTGAATTACGTTTTTTTTAAAAAATTAGTTGGAATCATAAGTAATATCTTGATATGTCAATAATTTTCTTCCCATGACCCAGTTGTTCAAATCATAGTCCTACATGTATAAGTCTTAGAAAGGATTGGGCAAAATCGTGTCTTCCCATGTATTGCTGATGATCAGTATGCATGCATTTGTGTGTAGCCTCCAGGTAGCTTTGGGCCAAATTGTCCACGTTCTTTAAGGTTTTATGTCTATTATATTTTAATTTACAGCAATAGTAGGAGTGTTAGTTCCAAAAGGCAGCTGTTAGAATATTCTCATCCAATCCAAGTGGCTTAAATGACTATGGTCTATGTCTGCACTGAGAGTAATCCCTCCTAGAGAGAACACTGAAAACTTAACATCAATAATTCCATATCTTAATTCCCAACAAGTCTCTCAAATAACCTATGTTCTAACCCAGACATGTCAAACTTGCGA